ATCTCAGGGGCATGGGATTGAGCCTCAAGTTGGGCTCTGCCCTCCTCCCTACTCGCATTCTCTCTCTCTAAATAAATAAATAAATAAAATCTTTTTTTTAAATTCATACTTGGCATAAGCACGTGCTCAGTAAATATTTGTTGAATAGATTATTGGATTATTGATTTAAAAAGAAAGCCAGTTGTGGACGGATGTGCATGGTATTATCGCAATTATGAAAGTCAGTCTCTAAACTTAGACATACAATGCCATGATTTCTGTGATGCCCCGTTCTGCCCCGGCAGTAGGAGACAAATTGAACTTCAGTCCCCCTGGGTGTGGGCCACAGTTCCAGGATATTTAGCAGGGCCAAATTTGCTTGGGATTGGGGGCAGAGGTGGGGGGGCTAAAAGAGGGACAGGATGGACAGTATCCAGCACTCAGGCAACAGTGATCCCTGCTGATACATGGTCATCTTGATTCAGTGGCCTCTTCGGTCCTGGTACTGTGTCTGCTTTGGGCTTGGGACCAGGGAAAATGTTGCAAGCTGCCTATGGTCCTGCCAGCCTAGTGGACCCCTGAGCTGTTTCCTCTCTGGGGAGCCTGCCGAGAACCAGGTGGCAGACGCCCCTCCCATTCTGGGCCAAGCTCTAGTCTCTTTGGAGGAATTCCCTTCCCCTAAGGGCCTCACCTCTTGAAAAACACAAACCAGCTTTTCTACTCTTGGGTCAGCCATATGCATCCCCAGGGGCAACGAGCACAGAAAAGTAGGGAAACGTAGGAAGGAACCAACTAGATTAACCTAGAAATACATTACATGTTTGCTGACCACCATGTGGGGAAGTGACTAGAAGGGCCGAAATGGACAAGTCCACTGAGGAGTTGGCCACCGCAGGGAGGGACAGGGTCATGGATTTGGACAGGAGAGAATGGATATCAGTTATTTGGAAGGTAAAAATCAGTAGCAACTAGGTGAGGGATTGGGTGGGGGCGAGGGAGGTAAGGGAGACCCATCTAGAAGGATCCCCAAGATTCTGCCTTGAGAGAGGGGATGGCTCTGCCATTGCACATGGTGTTCCCACTTCTGGAACGCCCTCCTCCACTGTAAGCCCTTCGCTTGCCCCCACTCCCACTCATCTTTTCGACCTCCATTCAAGCATCACTTCTGCGTAGCCACCCTACCTGACCCCAGGGCCAGCTGGATTCCCCCTTTCTCCGTCCACCTTCCTTTGCATGTTTACTGGGTGTGCAATTACACATCCATTAGTATCCTCCCCACCAGACTGTCAGGTCTGTGAGTGGATGTGGGCTCATCCTTGCATGCCCAGTGCCTAGCACGTAGTAGGTGCTCAATAAATAAAGGCTCCAAAATGCAGGCAGGGGAGGCTGGAGTGTATCCTGCAGGCTGGTGGTTCTTTTCCCAGGGACTGGAGCTGGCTGGGTTTCAAAATACATAGACCCCCTCCGCCACCTCGACTCCTCACCCCCCCGCTTTAAGATCTGTGCTTGTGAGGAGGCTGTGAGTGGAGGTACAGTCTTTTTTTATAGCCCCGAGAGATATTCATTGGTTTTACTGTAGGTTAGGTTTTTTTTTCTTAAGATTTTATTTATTTATTTGAGAGAGAGAGAGCATGAGCGGGAGGGAATGTTCTGGAAGTGCTCAGGGAGACTGGGGGAGGCACGGGGATTACCATGCCCCTGTGGGAAAGGCTGCAGTGGGGATTAAACAAGATAATGCATATAAAAGTCCCAGCAGCTTAAAAAAATACAGGATCCAAATCTGAGAAGACTGAGTGGCCAGGACAGGAGGAGGCTGGGCAGGGAATCACCTAGCGGCCCCCCCTTCAGGAAACCTCCAGGGGTCTCCTGGGAGCCCCGCCCCAGCACGACTGACACCCTGGCCCCACCCGGCCAGCAGGCAGGAATTTGCCCTGCTGACCTCCCCTGGCACACTCCTGTCACCATGGCGACCAACCTGGAAACAAGTGGCCCGATTGTCCCTGCTCAGCGGGGCAGGTGAAACCCTGGCCACGTGATCGATACTGAGCCAGGTGCACTGATGGGCCACCCGCCGCCTCCCTGCCTTAACCCCTTCATGCTCCCGCCCCCAGGGCACAGTGTCCCTGCTGCCGAGGGCCACACCCCTTCGGGGCCCTGGGTTCCCACCCAGAAGGGCGGTGATTACCGGGAGCACTGCACTAGGAGTCAACATTCCCAGGAAGGAATTTGGGTGGGGCCACGCACGTGCTGAGTGACTGGAGCTGGGTTATTCCCCTCCCGAGTCTCCATTTTCTCAGCAGTAAAATGAGGATGATAATACCCTCCCACTTCACCGGGACTTGGGGACTGCTGGGAACAGGGATGCTGGGAACAGACTCCCAGTGCGGTCTCATTCTGCACCCCTTTGCTCCCCCCCACATGACCTCAGCATATCAGGGGCTCCAGAAGGCCTCCCCGCCAATGGCTGGATAACCCCCCAGGAGAGAGACCCTCACCAACCAACCAGTTAGGAGTTGGCCAGTTCCTAACAAGCTGGAGAAGGGTGGGCAGCCCCCAGGTTGACCCATCCCCAACACACCACCAGAGTCCTTCCCACGTGGCAACAACCCTTCTTGTGGCCCCATGGCCCCACCGCTTGCTCCGGAGTGCTCAAGTGGAAACCTCAAGCCAGCTGGTTTTTCCGCTTGCTCCCAGGCCCTACGCAGCCACGTGATGGGGCTTTGGCCCAGGTCTCAGGAATGTCTCCAGACTGCTTCTGCCACAGACCCAGGGCTCTGAGCACATAGTCCAGGGTCGTGGGCCAGGCTCAGATTCCCTGGCTAGACAGTAGGCTGGGGCAGAGGTGGGGGGGTGGTTTGAACCATGTTTGAAATACTACCCTTCTGAATCACCAACATTATGTCAACCCCCTGCCCCTTCATCCATCAATTCTAAAAAAACACCCTGCTTGATGTCTCCTCCAAGGACCCCTCCCATGCCTTGGACCAGCCCCCATCCAGGGCTCAAATGTCCTCATCACTCTCCGAATGACTATGCTGGCAACAAATCATCACACCACCTGGTGTGCTTACCGTCCCCAGTGACCTCAAAGCCCTTCTCGCATTAGAACAAAACACTGCCAGTCCCCAGACTGACTCAAGGTAGGAGCCATTTTGGGCGCCTGGGTGGCTCGGTTGGTTAAGCGACTGCCTTCGGCTCGGGTCATGATCCTGGAGTCCCAGGACTGATTCCTGCATCAGGCTCCCTGCTCAGCGGGGAGTCTGCTTCTCCCTCTGACCCTCCTCCCTCTCATGCTCTCTGTCTCTCATTCTCTCTCTCGCAAATAAATAAAATCTTAAAAAAAAAAAGAAATCAAGGTGGGAGCCAATTTAGTGGGCAAGGTATTTATCATATCTTGGAGCTCAGATGCATCCTACTGGTCTTGACTCCATCAGGCCTGCCCTGAAGGGGGAAAGGCCTGGCTGGTCCAGATGTCATCTCCTGGAAGGGGAACTGACACAGCCACTAGGTGAACCTTCACCTAAGCCTCAGCTAGTGCCCTGAATCTCTTCACAATCATTCAGTAAAATGATTACTATTGCACTTTGCACTGGGTAAATAAAAATGTCTCCAGTCCGCCAGGAGCTCCCAGACTATGGTGGACACAGAGAAAGCCAGCTCTATTGATACTAGACAGTAGGCTCCTGACAAATGCTTTGAGAACATGGGGTAGAAGAGATTAGTTTCAACTGGGGAAATCCGGGAAGGCTTTTGAGGAGGTTGCAGTTCTCCTGGACCTTTAAAGTTGTACAGGAGTTGGGCCACGGGCTATCTGGAAGGCGCCAGCAGAGGGAGTCCTGGGGGTAAAAACCAAAAGGGAGGTATGCAAAGGTAGTTCTCTGGTTCTCTGGTTGGGGAGTAAGAGAATAGGCAGCATGAGTGGAAAAGCAGGTAAGATGGGGGGGCAGGTACCGACCACGGAGGCAACTCCCCCCTTTAGAGATGGGGAATCCCTTAAGGTCTCTGAGCTGAATGCTGTAAAAGGAGCAGCTACTCTTGTAACTGCTGAAGGATGCACTGTAGTGGAAGCCGGCTGAGACCTGAGAGGATGCCACCGCCACCACTAACCCAGACTGGGGACAGAAACTGGCAGCCGGTCAGGCTTCCAGACAGAGGCTATTTCTCAGCAGGATGTGCTGAGTTCTGAGGGTGGGAGGATCCTTTATTTCTCTGCTGGTAAAGAGGAGTGAGCACATCTGATCCATTCCAGCTCAAAGCAGCAAATACCTTCCCGTACAAACATCCGGCCTCCCATCTTGACTCGAATCAAGAATGGCAACCAAAAAAAAAAAAAAAAAGTCAGATCAGACAGCGATTCTGGTTCTGCTTCTTGTACGAGCCATTTGCCTCAGTTTCCCCATCTGTAAAGGGCGGGCGTGGAGGGTGGTTGGAGATGAGCTCTTTAGAGTCGAGGACTTCAGGACGGGTAAGAGGGGCACCACCCGGCCTGCCTGGGCCCCCGGCTGTGGAGCACGGCGCCTCCAAGCTGGCGCCCCGACGACGGGAGCCACTCCCGGCGCCTCTCCGCGCCCGCCCGCGGCACTGAAAGTATGGCACCCACCCAAGGCGGTGCGTGAGGGCAGAGGAGCAGGCCAGGTGCAGGGCGGGCGCTGGTCAAGGCAGGGCCTCCTCGGCTTGCCAAGGACCTGTCCCGCGGCCAAAGCTTGCGCCTCAAATCCAGGACGGTCCGAGCCGCGAGGACTCCCACGTTACAAGACCCTGACTCTCCATGAGGATTCGACGCCGGAAGAAGCTGGGCGGAGCTTCGTGAGGGGCGTAACCAGGGACATTCGGCGGCTCCGCCTGGGGCGTGGCCAGGGGTGGCTCGCCAGCCTCACGGCGCGGAGGCTGAGGGGATTACGTAATGACGCAAGGGGCGGAACTGGGGGAACAGATTGTACTCTGGGATTACGTAAGGAAACGAAGGCGAGGGCGGGGAATTCCGCGCTAGTGGGCGGGGCAGAGGGCGGAGCTGCAATCGGAACGGGGCGGGGTCCTGAGAGAAGACGGGGGGCGGAGCGAGGGGACAGGAAGCGGTGCGCTCTGGGTATCTGCTCCCGGGCATGCTCCGCTGGACCCGCGCCTGGAGTCTCCCCCTTGGGGGGCTCGGCCCCTGCTGTCTCAGCTCCTCCAGGGTGCCCGTCGCACCCAGCAGCAGTGGCCGAAGCGGCGTCGAGCCGAGGTCAGTCAAGGGCGCCATGTGGGAGGCCGTCCATCGCTCCTCCCCGTTCAGTCGGGCCGCGATGGCCCCGCCTCCTCCGCTTGCGCCCGCCCCCGCCCAGGCCCCTCCCCTAAACCCCTTCCCCAGCAGCCTTAGACCCCTCCTCCATCCTTGCGCCTGCCTCCAGGTCGGTACTGCTGTCCTACAAGCTTCTGGACGGAGAGGCGACCCGCCCGGCCCTAGTGTTCCTGCACGGGCTCTTCGGCTCCAAAACCAACTTCAACTCCATCGCCAAGGCCCTGGCCCATCAGACGGGCCGAAGGGTGAGCTTCCGGGAGAGGCGGGGTCCGGCGGGAGGTGGGGCCTGGCTGGGCGGGACTAGGAGGAGGCCGAGGCGGGGCCCGCTTTGTCGGCCCTCACGACAAGACACCTGCCGGGGAGTGGCCGGTCTCTCTAAGCGGAAATGAGGAAGAGGTTGACCCTCTAAGGATGGAGGCCACATGGCATACCGTGGCCCTAGGTCGACCCCATTCATTCTCTCGTGCTTGCATCCATCCAGTCCTTCGTTCGTGTTACAGATGCCCATGTGCGTGCTCCACACTGAGCTTAGGCTCGGCTGTCCAAGGCCTAAGCGCCAACACCCTCCCCGTTAAGGGGGCCAGCCCCTGTTCGTTCAGGGATGACAGGGGGCTGATCATCTTTTATAGTAGCCCATCCTCCTGTGCTCCAGCTCTTGGAAAGTCTTGGCACCTGCTTTCTCTGGGTGGTCACCAAACCTTTAGAGAGAGTGTCACGCTCTTTGGGCCGTCTCTTCTCTGGCAGAGGGGCCCCATGTTCCTCATCTGGCCTCCTAGGTCTGAGCACTGGGCCCTGTCACCATCGGGGCCCTTTTTCCACTTCAGGATCTTTCCCCAGGCTCTCTACCCCCCCCCCCCCAGCCTGCAGGAATGCCCTGCCTTAGGCTGTCTATGCCCTGAATGTGGATGCCAGCTCTGCCGGCCCTCTCCACTCTGCAGGTGCTTACGGTGGATGCTCGGAACCATGGTGACAGCCCCCACAGCCCAGACATGAGCTACGAGGCCATGAGCCAGGACCTGCAGGACCTCCTGCCCCAGCTGGGCCTTGTGCCCTGTGTCCTCATTGGCCACAGCATGGGAGGCAAGACAGCCATGCTGCTAGCACTCCAGAGGGTGAGCCTTCCCTATACGGGTCTTCCTCCCATCCAGTGTGGACCCTGAGTACCCAGCAGTCGACCTGGGACTCAGTCAAGTCTTGGATGGCCAAATTCAGGATCTGGGAACTCTGCCTGAGACCCAGTATGCCTGCCGTAAGGCCGGTCCCAAGCCTGGTTCTCTCACACAGCCAGAGCTGGTAGAACGCCTGATTGCTGTGGACATCAGCCCAGTGGAGACCACACCGAGCTCCAACTTCCCATCCTACATGGCGGCCATGAGGGCTGTAGACATCCCAGATGAGGTGCCCCGCTCCTCTGCCCGAAAACTGGCCGACGAGCAGCTCAGCACTGTTATCCAAGTAACACACCCATGCGCGGATGGTGTTGTGGGCCGGGAACTGTCAGGGGAAGAGTGGCAGCCCCAGACCTCACACAGAGACTTCCCTCCCCCAATTCTGGACCCCCCCACAGGACATGGCCGAGCGTCAGTTCTTGCTCACTAACCTGGTGGAGGTGGATGGGCGCTTCGTGTGGAGGGTGAACTTGGAAGCATTGGCCCAGCACGTGGACAAGATCTTGGCTTTCCCACCACGACCAGAATCTTACCCTGGGCCAACCCTCTTCCTCCTGGGTGGAAACTCTCAATATGTGCGGTAAGCCAGTTTTACTTTTGGGGGTGGGAGGGGCCCCAGCCTGGGGATCCCACCTTGGGGAGGGCTTGGGTGTGGGAGGGTTTTGCCTGAGAATTCAGAAACACCACGGGGCATGTGGGCTCGTGTAGCTCTCTTCTCCCTGCTCTGCTTCCACTTCTCTCTCTCCCCATCCTCCCATTCTGACCCCTTTTGCGCGGTCTTCTCTTCGACGGACAGCCCCAGCCACCACGCGGAGATTAGGCGGCTCTTCCCTCAAGCCCAGATGCAGACCGTGCCCAATGCTGGCCACTGGATCCACGCTGACTGCCCCCAGGACTTTGTGGCTGCCATCCGAGGCTTCCTGGCCTAAGAGTTGCTGGCAAGAGGGGGCAGGAAACCCCAGGCTTCCAGGCCCTACGGCCCGCTCCATGTTTCTGCACAAAAGGACTCAGGTGGGCACTGAGAGAGCATGAGGGTGCGGAGATGGTCAGACCTCAAGCTTTAATGAATAAAGACACTACTCCCAAGGTCCTGGGCTGAGCTCTGTCACCACCAGCGTCCCCACCGACCCAGGGGGAATCGGACCCAGGGGGCCCTGGGAGTTCGGGGGTCCACGGGGGCTCCCAGAGAGCCCCTGGCCTCTCTCTGCAGTTGCCTCTCGACCTGCTGCCTCACCAGCTGCTGCATGTCCTCCTGGGGGCAGGAGAGCAGGTTCAGGGCCAACCCTGTGCCCTTCTCCTTCTCCCCATGCCTCCCCAGCCCAGCTGGCATTCCCACGCTACCTCCCAGGCCTCCACCTCCTGCCTCAGCCTCAGTTTCTCCTCCAGGACCTCCAGTAGCTGGGCCTCCACAGCGCGCAATTTGGCTTTGCATGTGTCCAGCTCGGCCTCCAGTGCGTGCTTCCTGCATGTGGCGGGGAGAGCAGCTTGGACCCCGCACATCTGCTGTGTGACCACAGCCCCCGCCGTGTGACAGGGTGAGAGCTTATGTGGCTTTCCCTGCAGGAATACTTGACTTCTCACCTCCTCTCCTCTAGCAGGACAAAGCCCTGAGGGTGAGCCACCCACTGCCCTCCCAGCCCCCATCAGCATCTGCCTCTCACTTGGCAATGGCTTCATCCCGCTCCTGGAGGACTTGGTCCAGCGAGGGCTCTGTCTGGGCATCCCCCAGTGCTCCAGCCACTTGGGATTCTGGGCTCTGTTGTAGGGTGACAGAGAAGGGAGCAGGGATTAGAGCTTGTCTAGATGAGGTGTCCCCCTTCTGGGCCCTTCTGCCCTTCCCTTGGCTCTGATGCTAATGTCAGCAGGGGAGGGGTCTGGAAAGTTCTGTTCCTGCCCCCCAGTACCCATCTCCTGGACCTCTGAAAGTAGAGTAGGGGGACTGTGCCATGCTGAGGGGTTGGCAGGTGTGGTCTCTGCCTGGGACAAGGGTAAACAGAGGGGACAGGGCGTGTGGACCCTCAAGGAGGAAAGAAGTTCTCACCTAAGCCACAGGAAAGAGACAAGGTGGGTTTCAGAAGGACACTTACCCCTCTAGGGCCCCGGACAGAGAGAGTGGCCTGGTGACTGGGACTCTTGTCAGTGGGGTGGGGCAGGCAGACAACATAGCCCTTTGCCCTCCCTTCCGGACTAGGCACTCCCTGTCAGGCTCCGCCCCTGACTGGCTGGCCAGGCCCCTGCCTCCCCTCCTGGATCCTGGAACCCTCCTGCCCTGCCCAGAGCTTCCTCAGCCCCATTCCTGCACCGTCACACCTGTCCCTCACCCCAAGGGGGCGCTCTACCCATGTCAGGAGATGAGAAGGGAGGGACAGAGCCAGGACCATCTTCAGTGCTGGACAGGTCGTCTAGGTAGCCCACGCCTCCCCCCCCCCCCCCCCCCAGTGCATTCATTGAGCACACCAGTGACATCAAAGGTATGAAAGAGAATTTTCCCCATTGAGAAGCCTCTTCGGCAAGGTCATGTCTAGGGGATTAGATCCTCAACTCCACCCTAAACCGTAAATATTTCTCCCAGGAAACCCTGGCAGACACACCTCCTGGTTGCCCGTGGGTGCCACTGAGGCATGGGTACCTCCAAGAGCCAGACCAACAATTTGGTTGAGCCCCAGGTGAAGAGGTGGGGTTGAACCGTACCCCCAAATACACCCTTTTGTTGAGGAGATTGATTGTGTTTTGAGAGGCCGATCTGTGCCATGATCCTGACAGGGCCCAGGGACCTGGTCTCAGGGACCTCCGAGGCCAGCAGGGATGAAACGTAGATCTAATCAGAAAAGAGTGGCGGGGGGTCCAGGAACAGTGGGAGCACGAAGGAGGTCACAGGAGGTCACACCCTGTCCGTCACAGGAAGTTCCCTAGGACCGTGTCCAAAATGAACCCTGCAGGCCAGCAGGAGTCAGTCAGGAGAAAGGCATTTCTTTTAACTTTTTATTTCGAAACAATTTCAAAACTGCTCTTCAGTGTCCAAAAAAATATCCTTTTAGGGTAAAAAAAAAAAATCGAATATGGTATCAAACATTGTACCCAGTTGTCACATCTCTCTGGTCCCCCTCGGTCTGGAACAATTTGCAGCCTTTTTTTGAATTTTGTGGCCTTGACGTTTTGAAGATTACAGGGAAGTTATTTTGTAGACCATCCTCCAATTTGGGCTTGTCCACGCCTTCCTTTGTGATTAGACCACTGTTACCCATTTTGGGCAGAGACATCACAGAAAGGATGCCGTGTTCTCCTATCTGATATCGTTTGGAACCATGACTGGTGGGATCAATGCTGATCACTTGACCACGATTAATGAGCACCGGGGAAGGGAGGTATTTTGAGACTATGACACATCCTTTCCTTTACCCCACTTTCACCCACAGGGTTCAGCATCCATCGATGTTTCTTGCCCAGATTAATTATTACTACAATGATTCGCAAATGGGGGCGCCTGGGTGGCTCAGTCGGTTAAGCATCTGACTCTTGATTTCAGCTCAGTTCACGATCTCAGGGTCCTGGGATCGAGCCCTGTGTTGGGCTTGGGCTGAGTACAGAGCCTGCTTAAGATTCTCTCTCTCCCGGACGCCAGGGTCGCTCAGTCGGTTAAGCGTCTGCCTTCGGCCCAGGTCATGATCCCAGAGTGCTGGGATCAAGTCCCACGTCGGGCTCCCTGTTCAGCAGGAAGCCTGCTTCTCCCTCTGCCCTTCCCCCCTGCTCATGATCTCTCTTTCTCTCTCTCTCAAATAAATAAAATCTTAAAAAAAAAAAATTCTCTCTCTCCCTCTCCCCCTCCTCCCCCACCCCATTCTCGCTCATTCACTCTCAAAAAACTAAATAAAATAAAAATCCTGTAAAATAAAAAGACTGTGTGTTAGGCATGTTCATTGCAATTAGATTAACATACACATTTATATTATGTTTATTTCTTTATCTGTGTGATCATTAAATTTGTGTCATTTGGGCCATGGGATGCTCAGCTATCTGGTTAAACATTATTTCTCAGTATGTCTATGAGGGTGTTTCTGGAAGAGGTTAGGGTTTGTTGGTGCACAGAGTAAAGCAGATAGCGCTCCCCAATGTGGGTGGGCATCATCCAATTCGTGGAGGGCTTGAATAAAACAAAAGGCAGAAGAAAGGTTGAATCCTCTCTCTCTTCCTGACTGCCCGGGCTGGGATATGGGTCTTCTGTCCTACTGACACCATTGGTGATCCTAGGTCTCAGGCCTTCAGACGGACTGGGACTACACCAGCTTTCTGACCCTTCAGCTTGCAGACAGGAGATCGTGGGGCTGCTCAGCCTCTGTAATCACCGGAGTCAATTCTTCATAATCAACCTCTTTCCCAAGGGGGTGCCTGGGTGGCTTAGTTGGTTAAGCCACCTCTCTTGCTTTCGGCTCAGGTCCTGATCTCATGGGTTGTGGGATTGAGCCCCACGTTGTCAGGCTCTGTGCTCAGCGGGGTATTGGCTTGAAAGACTATCCCTCTGCCCTCCCCCCTCCCCTTCTCCCCCCACACTTCATGCTCTCTCTCTCAAAATAAATCTTGAGAAAAAATAAAAACCTCTTTCCCAGTGTTCATCCTAGTGGTTCTGGTTCTCCAGAGAACCCTAACTAATAGAATTTACATATATTAAGAAAAAGTTCACTATTCGACCTGAATCCCATCCACCAGCACAGGCTCATCCTAGCTTTTCCCCATTCCATATTTTACCCCCTTTCTCCAATTGTCTTCAGTGCATTTCATAGTTAGTTCAGTCTTCCTGTGTGTAGCTAACCCCCTAAAACAATGGGGCTCCCCCTGACGCGGATGCCCTTATGGGGACTCGGCTCCTGCGGGGACTGTCTCCCCGCACCCTCAACTCCAATACCATCCTCATGCATGGCCCTGGCTGCCACTGGGCTGGTCTAAGAGCTTTACAGTCATTAAGTGATTCATTCATTCCACAAATATTTACTGAGCACCTACTATGTTCTAGGCATGTTTCCAGGTGGTGGACATAAAACAGCAAGACAAAATTCCCTGACCTCACTGAGCTCACATTCTAGTGAAAGCAGATAGACCATAAACAAAGGAGTGAGTATACCAGGTGGTAAGAAGTGCTGTGGAGAAAAAGAAAGCGGGGAAAGACAAGGAGGAGGACCGGGAGATTGCTATTTTATATTATTCTGCACTACCTTACAGAGATCACAAATGTTAACCTACCACTTAGATGAAAAACAACCACTCTCTCACGACTTGGAATAACGTTTTCAGCGACCGCATCATTCATGCATTCAACAAGTTCTGTAATTCCCAGCACAAGTGAAGATGATGTGTTCGAGAAAACCGTATTAGGGAACTCAAAGGAGATGCTCTGGGTGACACGCGACATGACAAAGAAAGGCAGGGATGCAAGTGAAGGGTTTGAATGAATATTCACAAACCCCGAGAATAGAAAATAATTGTTTTGAAATAAACTTATTCTTTTTTTTTTAAGATTTTATTTTACTTTATTTATTTGAGAGAGAGAGAATGAGAGAGAGCACATGAGAGGGGGGAGGGTCAGAGGGAGAAGCAGACTCCCTGCCGAGCAGGGAGTCCGATGCGGGACTCAATCCAGGGACTCCAGGATCATGACCTGAGCCGAAGGCAGTCGCGTAACCAACTGAGCCACCCAGGCGCCCGAAATAAACTTATTCTTAAAAACATGTGATTTAAGATACCTAACTGTTAAATATTTTAATTCAGTATAACCAGGAAGTCACTAATTTCACCTGCATCCCTAAATGTTTAAACTGGAATATTGGGCCAAATTTCTTTTAAATTTTCTCACTGGGAAAAGGAGGGAATAACCTTATATTCAGGTGTACAGCCAATTCCATCGCAAACCCTTACCTCAAACATCACATACCGAGCGGTGGGGCTCATGCCCCAGCTGCCCACCGTCCAATCTCACTCCTCCCCTGCTTCCCCAGGATGGCTGAGCTCAGGCCTCAGGGCTGAGCTGGAAGATGGACAAAGTTGATGGTGTGCTGGGGTGGTGGAGGTTGGAAGTGGGAAAGAGAGGTGCTGGGGTGGTGGAGGTTGGAAGTGGGAAAGAGAGGTGCTGGGGTGGTGGAGGTTGGAAGTGGGAAAGAGAGCTGCCGGCTGGGCAGGGGGCAGGATTTTGTGGTCAAAACAGCTGGGATTTGCAGGGCTGAGGGCTTACAACTATGTGATCTTGTTTGTGCTTCCCTCCCTGAGCCTTATTGTCCTCATCTGTGAAATGGAACTAATGGGGCATCTCCCCATTAGTAGGGTCACACAATGACCAGTGCTTTGCATAGTAAAGGATCAGGGCCAGACATGCCAGAAAAGGAGAGAAAGCCTGCTAGAAAACAACAGAAAAGGGCGCCTGGGTGGCTCAGTTGGTTAAGCGACTGCCTTCAGCTCAGGTCATGATCCCAGGGTCCTGGGATCGAGTCCCGCATCGGGCTCCCCGCAGAGCTTCTCCCTCTCCCACTCCCCCTGCTTGTGTTCCCTCTCTCGCTGTGTCTCTCTCTGTCAAATAAATAAATAAAATCTTTAAAAAAAAAAAGAAAGAAAGAAAAAGAAAACAACAGAAAAGAAAAACAGGAGAACGTCGTCGTCGTCAACAACAACAACAACGACACACACACACACACACACACACACACTCCTTTATGTCCGCAGCCCCTTCCTGCTCTGCACCCCCCATGGACTCCGCCCCAGGGACACTTCTGTTCCTAAATTCTACACAAGCTGCCTCCTCATCCTCCTGCAGACCCCTACAGCCCCTGCACTTCCCCATCATTGTGTTGTCACTGTCAAGGTGTCTCTCCCACCAGCCTGAGGGCTTCTGGAGGACAGGTGGTGACTCATCAGCCCAACCTGGGCGCACAGGTGCTCAGCGGTAATGGTAATGGTGCCAGCGAAGCAGCACCGGCCATGCCCACCAGGTGGCAGCAGTTCCTAACCTCAAGGTGCGGTGGGCAAGGGGCCCACGCCCCGCCCTCCCAGCCTGCGGGATGGAAACCCCAAACTGTCCCCAGGGGCTTTGGGAGCACCCAAATGCCCAGCGTTTCCCTCAGTGCTCCTTTATAGGAACACTGCTCATTCAAATGTGCAAAGATTCATCACTCATTCCACAAACCCGCTTTCTGTGCCAGCCTTGGGAAATACACAAGAACGTGACCTGGTTCCTTCCCTTCAGATGTCCCCATCCAATGAGGGGACAGATAGCTAACACAGACCACAGCCACACAGGACAAGAAGTGTTACAATCTGGATAAATACGGGTCTCTGTGGGACCACACAGGAGCCCAGCCTTCATTGTTGGGCAGTCAGGGATGAATTCTGGGAGGAGGTGATGTCCACTAGGGGAGGAGTGAAAGTCAAGGAGGGAGGAAATGGAGGAGAATGTCCCAGGCCTGGGGAACTAAGCAAGTGCAGAGTCCTCAGAGGAGGGTGCCAAGTGGGCACTGGGCATCGTGGCTGCATCAAGGGAAGGTGGCCTCCAAGAGGTGACAAGGGCTGGACCACAAAGGAAATAGAAATCTCTATTGGGGCATCAGGATTCTCCCCCTGGCGCAGTAGGGAAACCTCACTGCCCAGAACAAGTAGAGTACAGGATGCCACAGAGACGCTCCTTTGACTAAAGTGGGGACAGGGCTTTACAGGGCACTGGTCTGGACAGAATATCCATCGATTATTAACATTAAAGAATGGGGTGGGGCACCTGGGGGGCTCAGTAGGTTAAGCATCCTACTCTTTTTTTTTTTTTTTAAGATTTTATTTATTTATTTGACAGAGAGAGACACAGCGAGAGAGGGAACACAAGCAGGGGGAGTGGGAGAGGGAGAAGCAGGCTTCCCGCCGAGCAGGGAGCCCGATGTGGGACTCGATCCCAGGACCCTGGGATCATGACCTGAGCTGAAGGCAGTCGCTTAACCAACTGAGCCACCCAGGCGCCCCAAGCATCCTACTCTTGATCTCAGCATCGTGAGTTCAAGCCCTGCACTGGGCTCCACTCTGGGAGTGGAGCCTACATAAAAAAAAAAAAAAAAAAAAAGGAATGGGATAGGAGTGATGTGTGTTATGGGGACTGCCTTGTTCCCACAGGGAATAAGCCCTGCTCTCTCACTCTCCCTGTCCTCGTTCACACCCTTGGCCCAGAATGCCTTTCCCCCGTTCTCCACCTGGCTACTTCCTACACATCCCTTAAGCCCCAATTCAAATGCTCCCCCCTCTGGGAAGTGGTCCCTGAACCCCAGGGAGTTGGCTGCTCTGGGGACCCATGGCATCTTGTGCAGCAGTTTCTTTTTTAGCCTGTGCCATGGAGCATTCTATTCCAAATTCAGCCCTTGTTTCTTATTCCATAGACACACACACACACAGATGCACACACTCCGGGGACTGTGGCCCGCAACTCCACCTCCACCCCAAGCCAGACTACTCCTGCCTCCTTAGTCTCCAGCCGGTGTCGCACATGAACTTCTCATTGACCATCTGCATGTTTCCCCGGATATCCGGGCGGGCACTTTAAATGCTCTCAGGTGTCTGGTCTAGTTCATAATATCTCTCATTGTTTTAATGTCTTTTTTAATATTTTTTTTTAGTGATCTTGACTTCCAACGTGGGCCTCAAACTCACAACCCCGAGGTCATGATCAAGAATCAAATGCTCGGGGTGCCTGGGTGGCTCAGTCCTTTAAGCATCCAACTCTTCATTTTGGTTCAGGTCATGATCTCGGGATCATGAGATCAAGCCCCACGTCGGGCTCTGGACTTAGCGGGGTATCTGCTTGAGGATTCTCTCCCGCTCCCTCTGCTCCTCCCCCAGCCCTTTTTCTCTCTTCAAATACATAAATAAATCTTAAAAAAAAAAAAAAGTCACATGCTCTATCAACGCAGCCAGCCAGGCTCCCCTAATTGTTTTAATGTTTTACAACAAACATTCTTTTCATAATTGAAATACAGTATAGTAATATTAAATAAGTCTCTTGAATGCTTTTGACCCTTCTCTCCAGGCTGCCGGGTCCTGCTGTTGTTCAGACGGTCAAGGTCTCTCTCCTAGACACCACTTCCTGCTGTCCTCCACGCTGCTATGAGCTCTTCCCATGTTCCCAGAATGACCTACACCGGCTGCTTTCGGCCCAGGCTGCTCCCATGAAATCCAGATCACATGGGCAATGGCCTACTGGCCCTCCACATTGGGGTGTCTAATGGGCAACTCAAAATCAAATAGATCCAAACCCCAGATCCTGATCTACTCCCACCCCCAGCCTACCCCTCCTCCGGTTCTTCCCCTACCTTGACTTCACTCACCCTGGATTTCTCTTTCCTTCAGTTGGCTCTACCTTTAAAATATATGCAGAGGGGCACCTGGGTGGCTCAGTCATTAAGCGTCTGCCTTCAGCTCAGGTCATGGTCCCAGGGTCCTGGGATGGAGCCCCGCGTCCGTCCGGCTCCCTGCTCTGCGGGAAGCCTGCTTCTCCCTCTCCCACTCCCCCTGCTTGTGTTCCCTCTCTCGCTTTGTCTTTCTCTATCAAATAAATAAAATCTTTAACAAAATTTTTGCAGAATATGACCACTTGTTACCACATCACTGCCTTCACCTTTGTCCCAGCCACTGGCACGATTGCGATCACTTCTTAAATGGCATCCCTGCTTCCTCCCCAAAGCCCTTCACAGTCTCCAGACACAGACTTGGGGTGGTTCAATTGATGATTTTTTGACATTACAATGGTGTGAAAGTGATATGCATTCAGTAGGAACTATACTCTGAATTCTGAATTTGGATCTCTTCCCAGGCTAGTGATCTGAGGCGTGATCCTCTCTCGTGATGCTGGGTCATGGCACCAGCAGCAATCACGAGAGTGAGGGATCCCTGCGCTTACAACCCTCCTGTGCCCAGACAGCCATTCTGCTTCTCGCTTTCTGGCCAGCGTTCAGTACATCACATGAGTCAACACTTTATTATAACAGGCTCCACGTTAGATGATTTTGCCCAACTGCAGGCTAATATAAGTGTTCTGAGCACATTTATGGACAGCTAGGCTAAGCTATGATGTTCAGTAGGTTAGGTGTATGACATGCATTTTCCACTTAGGAGATTTTCAATTTACGATGGGTTTATCGGGACGTTACCCCCCTGCAAGTCGAGGAAGATCTGTATTCTCCACCCAGCAAACAGAGCAATTCTGTTAAAGCCCAAGATGGATCTTAGGTCTCCTTGAGTCCCTTTCTGCGTCTGTGGCTTGCATCCCAGTCAGAGTAAAAGCCAAAGGAATTGGTTACTTACAAGGCTCAGCCCCTCGACTTCTCTGACCTCACCTCCTTTAAGGTCTTTCATTACCCACTAGGCTCCAGGCATCCACGCCTCCTTGCTGTTTCTTTGACAGGCTAGGCATGCTCCCTGCTCATGGTCTTGCACGTGATGTTCCCTCTTCCCAGAATGCTCTCCCCCCAGAGACCTACATGACTCGCTCTCTCCCCTCCTTCAGACACTGCTCAAATGCCACCTTCTTGTGGTGCCTGGCTGGCCCAGTCAGTGGGGTGTGCAGCTCTTGATCTCTAGATTGTGAATTTGAGCCCCACGTTGGGTATAGAGATTACTAAGAATAAATAAATAAATAAAATCTTAAAAAGAATGCCACCTTCTCAGCAAGGCCGTCCTTGACCATCAAATTTAAAATTGGAAACCCACGGGTGCCTGGGTGGCTCAGGTGGTTGAGTGCCGACCCTTGATTTCGGCTCAGGTCATTATCTCAGGGTCCTGGGATGGAGCCCTGGGTCGGGCTCCGGGCTCAGTGGGCAGTCTGCTTGAGGATTCTCTCTCTCCCTCTCTCTCTGTCTCACCCCCAGCTCACGCACGTTCACCCTGTCTCTCTCAAATAAATAAATAAATCTTTAAAAATAAAATAAAATAAAAATGGAAACCCATCTCGAACCCAGCACTCCCTACCCCTACTTCCCTACTTTGTCTTCTCCATAGCATATTATCACCAGCATGGATATTATTTGTTTATCATCTCTTTCCTCTCCTAGACATAGACTCCATGAGGGCAAGGACTTTTGTCTTTCTTGTTTTCTGCCATGTCTCCAAGATCTAGAATAGTCAGTGCACAGTAGATGGTCAGTTAACTTTTTTTTTTTTTAAAAGTAGGCTCCACGCTGAGCATGGAGCCCCACTCAGGCTTAAGCTCACCACCTTGATATTAAGACCTGAGCTGAGACCAAGAGTTGGACGCTTAACCGACCAAGCCACCCAGGCATCCCAGCTCAGTTAATTTTTGATTCATGGAATGAAAGTCGATCCTTGATTCCCTCCTCCTTGTCTGCACAATAAAGCTCAACATTCCAGGAAGGCTTCCCTCACTGGCTTCATCTCTCACCCAAGCTCTGAGGTTCTCCAAACACTCCCAGTCTCACCCCAGGGTCTGGGCACACTCCTTCTGTCCCGAACACCTCCACCACTCCCTGCTGCAATCCCGGCCTCTGGGAAGCCACCCAGGATCCCTTCACCTACTGAAACCATGTCTGTCTCTCCCACTACATCACATCTTGAGTGCAAAACAGCAGCTTGAGCATAGTTTCCTAAGTAATGTTTGATAAATGAATGAATGATCGAATGAGGGTAAGACCTCTAACAGAAAAGCAGAGTCTTTATTCATTCTTCACGCTACCATTTAATATGTACATTAATAAGTGATGCTTGGTGTGACCCTGGGGCCCTCTGAACGCATGAACTGTGTCTCCCCCTCCTGCCCTCTTTCCTCAAGGCCAGACACTGGGCTCTGGGGGTGCACCCATGACCCACCCCACCATTCACCCTGCACACAGGAAAGCACTCTGGACCACGAGTCAGGCAGCCCCTTCCTACCAACTGTTCCCTGTAACCCTGAGCAAGTCCCTCCTGTAGGTGAGTCCTGCTTTTGCACCACCAGTGCTTGCTCTGTGGGATGTTCTAAGCTAGTCAGTCTCTGGCCGGATTTCCAGGGAAGGAGAGATGGCTGGAACAGTGTCTCTAGCCCGTCTGCCAGCCAGCAAACCTGTGCCCACAGTCTGGGAGAAGCGCCAAGCTCAGACACACTGGGCAGCAGGGGGCTGGCCCAGCTCCAGAACAACACCTTGGCAGCCCTGGATAAGGGAAGAGGGAGTGCTTGGCTTGAGGTCAAGAGGGTCTAGGCTAGGGCACAGAGGGACAGCTGGGGGGGGGGGGGCTGAGGGGGGTTATATGGCTACTGTCTCAACAAGGCGCTGGCAGGGATCAAAAGAGCATCTGCTACTGACTAGCCCCCACCCACCACCCCTCTACACGCTGCTAAGATCTTTCCATTAGTGCCACAGTAAGCGGGGCCGGAGGCTTAGCTGCCCCCAGCCATATAGAGAAATAGGATCTCGGGCCTGGGGCTGGGGCTCTGGGTGGGATTGTAGGGAAAGGGGCAGGAGAGCAGGCTTTAGCTTAGATCTCCCTTCCTCAGAGACAGAAGGGTTCCTGCATCCCGCTGGGAGTGGAAACTAAAGGAAAAGGGGTGGTCACCCAGCATCAGACCAGTGAACTGAGAAATCCCCGGGAAGGAGGGGCGAGAGCCTGAGTCTGGATGAGGTGTTGGGGGAAAGTGGGAAGGTAGGGGCTCAGCGGCTGTAACTCTGGCGGAGGTTTTTGGAGGGGAGTGCCAGATGTCCCAAGGCCATAAAATCTAGAGGTTTCCGACCTCCAGCAAATCCCCAGGGGTGTGAGGAGCTCTGGGGGTGTAAATCCAAGGTCCAGAACGAGGGCGGAGCCGCTGGGAGAGGGAGCGGGGGCTCTGGGGCCCCACCCCAGGCAGGGATCACGCGGCGTGGGGCACGCGGGGGCACGGGGGTCCCAGGGCTCCGACCCCACTGCGCCGGCCCGGGCCCGGTGGGGCGGGGGCGGGGCCGGCGGCTGGGCGGGGCCGGGCGGGGCGGGGCCGGGCTGGGGGCTGGGCCGGGGTCCCGGGGGCCGGGGCGGGGCCGGGCTGGCGCTGCGCAGCCGCGGGGCGGCCGCCGCGCATGCGGGGCTCACACGGCTGCAGCCGGCGCCGCTGCCACTCCCGGGAGCATGAAGGACCGAACCCAGGAGCTCCGCACGGTGAGTCCGGCCCCCGCGCGCCGCCGCTCGCCGCCAGCGTCCCGCGCCCCGCGCGCCGGCCGCTCCCCTCCCGGCCTCGGCGGCCACCCGGCGACAGCCCCTGCGTCCCCGGCCGGGCGGGAGGGAGCGGTGCGGAGCCCGGGACCCCGACGCCCCTCCGGGTCCCGCCCCTCGGACCCACTCGGGGTCACGGGCTCGCGTGAGCTCGGCGCCGTGGGCCCGCGGGCTGGCGGCCGGAGCCCGGGGTCCTGGATAAACTTTTCGGCGCCCCCTTGTTTTGGGGGGTCGGAGGGCTATTACCAGATACCGGTGGCGGGACGGAAGGCTGACCTCTCCCGCGGCCCGCGGAGCAGGTCCTGTCTCTGTCCCCTCACTGTGCCTCATCACTGACCCTCCTGTCCCCCCGCAGGGGTGTGGACAGACGGCGGGACCGCAGCGGCAAGGGGCCGGGGGCGGTCCCCTGCCCAGAGCCCAGCTGCAGGGCGCGCTGCGGAAACCGGGCCGCCGGGTGGGGCCGGGCTTCTCGGGCGGGCGCTGTCCCGCGGGGCGCCCCGCCGCCTCCGTCACCTGTAGCTCCCATCACCTGTGGCTCCCCATCCCCGTCGCGCTCGGGGTTTGCTAACCGCCCCGGTCCCAGAGGGGTCAGATATTCGACCCCGGTCCACCTTCCTGGCTTCCGGGCAGCCGCGGCCAGCCGGCGGCGTTTTCAGACCCTTCCGGGGTTCCTGGTCTGATTCCAACCTGAACCTATTTCTCCACCTGTGTCTCGGAGGCCCCCGGGGTGTGGCTCCTGGGGCGGGGTTTGGGGGGAGTAAGAGGATGCACAAAGGCTCTGACCAGAGCCCACCCTATCCTAGCCCTGACTGAGACCCCTGCCGCTTGCTCCTCTTTCACTCCTACCCCCTCGCCCCCGTCTCCCCTGGACTCAGACATTTCCCAGGACATTCTCACCTCTGCCCTTAGAGATGGCAAGCCTGGGGGCGTGTGGGGGCAGTGAAGGAAATGAAGCCTGCCTGTGGGGAGGGTGGGCATCAGGGCTCTAGACCAGGCTGACTCTTGTCTGATCCCCTAGCTGACCACCCTGCTGTCTGGCAGGTGCCCTGCCCGCAGTGCTGATCTGGGGTGGGGGCGCAGCTAGCTCACTGGCTCCTCTGAGCTCCCCCCCCTGCTACCCCTCTTGGAGCCAGAGACCGAGGTCCTCTTATATGAAAAGTTTTAGGTGTCCTTTGGGCTTTTGACCCCCTGGCTTGACCTGTCTGTCCAGAGGCTCCCTGTATCTGTGACCTCTCTCCCCCATTATACCAGTCTTGTCTCCTGGGCAGTCTGGAGCTGGTACCTGTACTCTCCTGCCTCCGTTTCCCCCCCTTGCTCTGGCTACCCCCCCCACCCTTCCAACAGACCTTTTATTCCTGGCCAAATGCCCAGCCCCCAGGGTAAACCTCAGGAGGTTTCAAAGGAAGAAGATGGTCCCTCATGTCATATATGATGTCTAAACACTTCCCCCGCCAGCCCTTGCGGTTGCCCTCAAGCTTCCTGTGCTATGTTGAGTCAGAAAGAATGTTATCTTGGTGATGAATGGCCGTGTGGTGCATTTGCTGATGTTTGGGTGCCTGGTGGGTCAGACGAGAGTGTATGTGGGAACCAAGTGGTCAGGGAAACACAGTCCTTTACATGGGACAGGGTCTCTGGTGCATCAGCCTTCATCCCCTCTGCTAAAGGGGAAACTGAGGCACAAGAGAGCAGATGGCATGCCTGGTAGCTCAAAAGGGATGGTAGAAAGGGGCTTTGTCCCAAAGACAGACTTAGGCCTGGCTGGGACTGGGGGACCACGCAGAAGGCTTGGGTTGTAGGGAGCTTGAACCCAGGTCTTTTGCTCTGGTGTGTGTCTCTGTGACCCTTCACACCCACCCCCAACATACGTACATAAACACTAGCCATAGTGGTCCCTTAGATGGTGAGGCCTGGCTTCTCTGTGGATTCGCTGGGGCTTCCTCTCTAGACCCCACCCTGCAGGCATTCAGAACCCATGGAGGCTGCTGTACTCATTGCCGGGTGGCCTTGCCCACTGGGGGTTTCTTGCAGGCTGCAGGAGCCCACACTGGGTGGGCTGGGACAATTTGTCATTCCCACAAGTCTCCCTCTGGGCCTTGGATTCCCACCTATAAAAGTAGAGATAAGGAAACCTAGAGCCCAGTTTCTCAGGGCAGGGGGTGGTCACCTGAGTCCGACTCCATATTCAGGGGAGACCTTGAACCCTAGGAGTCAGAATTCTCAGATCAGAGTCCCCAGGAACCAAGAGGCCAGTCCTGGATGGGCTGGACAGAGGTGGCGCTTGGGCCAGTGACTTGCATGGTAGCCAGCCCTCCCTCCCTCCTCCCCCCTCCTTCTTCCCCACCCAGCGCCACCACATTTGGAAGGAAGGCAAAGGGAGCTTATTTATAAAAGTCACACTTGGGGAAGGAGCTGGTGCGTTTCCTCAGCGCTCTGCAGGCCAGGCCCAGCCCTCCAGCCTTCCCCAGCTCCTGCTTCGCAGGCAGCTGATCCTGCAGTTGTATAGACCTAGTGAAGGGATCATCGGGGGCCCTTAGAGGTCAGAAGGACAACCCAGGGGCCTAAGAGGGGCAAAGACAAGCCCAGGGTCACAGAACCGGGGAGACTTAGGACAAGGTGCCCCTGGGCAGCCCCACCTGGCATACCACTGCCTCCTTCCCCCCCCACTCAGAGGGCTCCCTGGTTTTCTTTCTGAGATCTTCTTGGAGCTGACCCACCCTTCCCTGGGTCCAGGAGGGTGTTTATCTCTGTGCTGAGCCACATGCAGGACATGGGGCCTGCGGCGGGAGCCAGAGGACAGAGAGGGGGGAGCATTGGGGCTGCCAGCCCCTGGAAGAAGGGAACCTGGGGTGACCCAGAAGGGGTTGGGTAGAAATGGGAGGAGGGAAGATGGTCCAAAAGGAGGGGCCTCCGGTAGTAAAGGCAGAGAGGTTGCAAAGCCCAACCAGGAGAGAATGGTGGGTGGTCTGATGCCTGGCTGGGGAAGCCCGTGCGCCCCTTTGCCCACCCATTCCCCCTTTCTCTCTCATTGCTGGGAAGAGACTGGGTGTCCTGGACAACACCAGGCAGGTTCTTGCCTTAACCTCTCTGTGCCCATTTCATCCATACAGTGCAGCCGGCCGGATCCGCCTTGCAGAGTGGAAGAATGGGGATGTAAGAGTAGGCCTCCTTCCCTCCCCTTACCTCCTTGGGGTTTCCCAGAAGAAACCGTGGGTTTGGACACATTGTCCCCTGGGGTGCCGCCGGAATGACCTTCAGGGACGATCTAGTCCAACCTCCTCTTTCACAAATTGGAAAACTGAGGTCTGGAAAGGGCCAGAGGTTTATCTAAGGTCACACAGTATATTGGGACAGGGGTTGGGGGGGTGGAAGGAGTGCGGGGCTGAAACCACCTCCTCTCCATGGGCTGAGGCTGCCTTCTGGAGCTGCCCTGGGGCCCTGGTCAGGGGCAGGGATCTGGAGGTGAAGGGCGTACACCAGATGGGGAGAGGGTGAAAGGGTCAGACGAGGGAAGGGGGGTCTGGAGACCCAGCTTGGCCTCACATACCCCTGACTCAGCTCTGGGTCTCTCTGCTCTAGTCGTATTGACTTTGATTCGTCATTAAAAACAAGAAGGGGAAAAAAAATAGCCCTCGAGGCAGACAACAGCCAACTCCTGCTCAGGAGGAATGAATCAACCCTGTTGGCTGGCCTCCTGCCATCCATCCCTGGGGACGGGCCTGGAGGCTGCCTGGACTCTGAGCCTCTTGGAGGAATCACACTTTTGTTTCCAGGAAGGTATCCTGGCATCCTGGAGCCTCTGCCAGGAGAGACCACCAGGGCTGTCTGGCCTCCTCTAGAAGTTTAGGGCTTCTGGCCAGGGTGGCCATTCCGGATGGCTTGGGCCAGAGGCCTCATGAGGCCAGAGTCTGTCAGAAAGGAGTAAGATCAGACCACTGGTTCTCAACCCCGGGGTGGGGGTACTTTTTAAAAACTTGGCCTTACCAGCCCCAAACCCCTAAATTCTGATTCAGTCTCTCTAGGGTAGAACCCTGGAAGCTGGTTTTTTGGGGTTTTTTTTTTTTTTTTTTAAGCCTTTCAAGGGATCATGGTGCTGCAACAGGATTAAGAACCACTGAACAAACACCACGACAAGTCAAATATTGGATGGATGTGAGAGGAAGAGGAAGAAAGTAGATGTACCCTGGTTTCTGATTTGGGGGGACCCTTGAGAATGGGGGGTTTCAGAGGAGGTGCTCAGGAGAACGAGGCAGAACCTAGTTTGGGCCAGATGGCAGGTAGGGTGCTCACATGATGCCTGGGTGGGTTTATCCTGAAGATGTTTGCCACTCCGAGCTTGCGACCACTCCCAGGCTCCAGATGCCACCTCAAGTCCCCAGTCCAGTCCAGCCCTCTTTCTGGAGCTGTGACTGTCACTCACAGAGGGCTGGCAGATTTCCAAAGGAGCTGGGGCCCTCATGATTCTAAACCATCTGGGTGTTCCCTTTGTGCATGTTGGTGATGCCCACCCTGACCATCCCAGGACACCAGGAGACGCCAGCCTAGTTCCTACTTCCTTTTGGGTCAGGAGTGTGTCTGGATTTGGGGCTTGTCATTTATTTAGTGCCAGTGAAACCTGATTGGGGTCTTAGTTAACCTGGAGGATGTCTCTAGAAAGGTGCCACAGGGCTCTGGCCTAGATGTGGATGAGGTTGCTGGGGGCCCCAGAGTCATGAGCCATCAGATTCTCACAAAGTGGAACAAGGATCAGAACAAATGAAGAAATTAAGCAAAAAAAGTCCTTCACTTGAGCCTAAAATCCAACCAAGTAGACAGTGGTAGGGAAGGGCTTGGGGCTTTTCTGGGCAGGAACTGCTATGTGATCACTTATACTGATCTCTGGTTGTATTAACAAAGGTAGATCATGTAAAAAGAGGAAGGGATGGGTCAGCTCTTTGGTACCACTTAGGCCACAATCAACAGCAGATTCAGTTTGTATCATGTACCGCAGAAGAAGATAGAGACTGGACCAAAGAAGTCTGGGGCGGGGGTTGCAATTTAGGGCCCTGGGCGGGGGGGTGGAATATGAGGGGAAGGGAACGGTCAGCATGAGGAGAAAAACCCAGGGAAGATGTGGATGCTGCCTTCAGGTCTCTGGCAAGACCAGCCCAGGGAGAGGGCACCAACAGGTTTTTTATGGCTTAGGGCCGCAGGAAAGGGGCATCGGGGCAGCCCAAGGTAGGCAGAGCTGCCCGGGAAAGCTAGTGAGCTCACCATCACAGGAGGTATGCAAGCTGAGGCCGGCAGCTGAGGCCAAGGTGACTTTTCAGGTCCCTTAGGGCCTGAGAGCGTGTGGCTGTGGTTCCAGTAGAGATGTGAGTAGTGTGTGGGGAACCCGAGGAGCAAGATACTGACCCAGGGGAAGGCTTCTGAAAGGAGATGGCATCTAAGGATGAGGGGAATGTCAGCTTCATGGAATCAGCATTCCAGCCAGAGGGAATTGCATGGGGCAAGGGAAGACAGCGGGTGGGCTGTGGAGGCAGGGAGATGGTTTAGGTGGGGTGTGCCGGGGTCCAGTTTCAGGCTGCGGCAGTGAGGTGACGAGGGGCAGTGGGTGAAAAGTCCTGAGGAGGAAGAAGAGCCAGGACGTGGTAAGGAAGGGGTCCCCATGGAGAGTCCCCTCAGGGTTTTGCTTGGAGTCACCACTGGTGTGACCAAGGCTGTGACGTCAGACCCTCAACCCTCCGATTGGCTTTGGGGCTAATCTGAATGCTACCTTCGGGGTGGACCCCTACCTGGGAGCCCCAGTCAGGCCCTGGCCCCAGGTGTCCCCTTCCTCAGCTCTGCACTCATGGCCGGCGGGCAGGGAGGAGAGCGTGGACATCCTTCCTGCCAGCCCTCTGTTGGAGAAACTCCCTGACTCTAGCCGTCAGTTTCCTGGGGAGGCTGTGGAGGGAGTAGGTCGGAGCTGCTGGATGCTCGAGAAGATCCGTCCTTGTTTTATAGGCGGGCAAGCCGAGGCCCAGGGAGAGCAGTAGCCCAGACCCCAGGGGTCTCTGGCAACAGCTCTCCTCTCCGGAAACCCTGGCGCCCTTGTCTTTGGCCCTAGCCGGTCATTACTCTTCTGGGAGGGGAGCTGGAAAATTCTCCTTCTGTCCTTTCCTGTCCATCCTCCTCTTTCTCTAGATGCCAAAAAGACAGAGAGGGCAGGCCGTTGAAGGGCAGGAGCTCCTGGGACCACCTCCCAACCTGGCAGGCTGCCCCGGAGCGGGAGCTGGGCTCCTCCAGACTGCACTCTGCCTCAGTTTCCCTAAGGAGTGCTCCTCTAGCTTAGCTTCTGCGCCTGGAAAGGTTCAGAAGTGTGGAAATGGCTCCTAGATTCTCTTTGTCAATAGGTGGGCTTGGTTGGGGGGAGGGGGCCACCTGGTAGCAGCCACAGGCACTTGTGGGAGCGAGGATTTATTTTAGCTGCTGGGGGAGGAAGTGTGATCTCTTGATGAGAGGGGCCTGTCAGAGCCGCCTCCGTAAAGTTCCCAACCAACCCCCTCTGCTGTCTGGTCCCACTCTGGTGGGGCAGTGGGACCCCGAGAGCCCCAGGGGCACAGCCCTTTCAGAACATGCTGTGCCTTCCCACCCTTTCTCAGCCTTCTGTCCCCGCAGCCAGGCGTCCCTGTCCCCACTGCACACAGGAGCAAACAGACCCAGACGGCACGTCCCTCAGCCAGCCACTGTCTGCGCTGGGCACGGAACCTGGGTCCCCCAGCTTCACCATCCCTCCACTGCCACCTGCCCCTGTCCTCGGCTCTGACCCTGACATAAGAGAGATCAAGGTGAAGGCCAGTGCCCAGCCTGCTCACGCCTCCTCCCGTGGGGTGCTGAGACCTGAAGGGGTGTGACCAAGCCTGATAACCCCAGTCTGAGGGGGCCGGTCCCACCCTCCGTATCCTGGCCTTGGCCGTGGAGAGGGACTTGCCCTTGCCAGCAGAGTGGGCTGCTCCTGGCGACTTGAAGCGTGTAAGGCGGACCGTGATGAGCACGGCCGGCACACTGGGAAGTCAGAGGTGTAATTACTCCGCCCCGTGATGGGGGTGGCTTTTGTCTGGCTGCTCCTGGGGTGGCGGGGTGGGGCCTAGGGCAGGCCCCGAGCCAAGTGACATGACTGGCCTCTCAGGCTGGTGGGGCCCAGCTCTGGGCCTGGAGGGGAAGAGGATGGAGGTCTGATGTCGAGAATGACAAGGGGACAGCTGAGCTTGCAGGGCTGTGTGCAGCCAGCATCTCTCAGGCCTGCTTGAGGAGCTGTGGGATGGCCCGTGTCTGAGCCAGCCTGCCTTTTCGGGGGCAGGTGTGGGTGGCGCCCAGGCCTCCCACTCCCGCCCCCCATCCCTGGAAAAGGAGCTTGGGGACTTTGGGCCCCATCCTAATTGAAACCATCGGGACTGGAAAGTAGAGAAGGCTGGTTTCCAGCCGGCCTGTCCCAGGCAAGGTCTGTGAGTTGGGGGCCCCTGGCCAGGGGGCCAAGCCTTTCCAGCTGCCCCCTAGGGTGAGGGACGTGCCAGGAGGACTCCGGTCCTGGGGGGAAAGGGCAGGCAGCTGGGCAGGGGATGGAGTCCTTGGCCTAGAGACTCTACAGACTTGGCCCTGTCACCATCTTGACAGGCAAGGCCTCTTTCCTTATGGGGGGGCCCCAGGGGTCCTCCACGTCTCACTGTGGCTGGTTGCCGAGGACGCTGCTAAGAGGACAGAGGGCAGTGGTCGGGGCCGCGGAGCTGAGCCTGTGAGCCTGCTGAATATGGACTCTGGGTAGTTCGCGGTCCCGGGTCCAGTGGGTCCCAGTGGGTCCCAGTGGGCCTACCACAGGTCCGCTCACGTGTACACACCCCTGCGCAGGCCAAGGACAGCGATGACGATGATGATGTCACTGTCACCGTGGACCGGGACGGCTTCATGGATGAGTTCTTTGAACAGGTGGGAGCCAGCACAGCCCGCGTCCGCGAATACACTGGCAGACCTTGGAGGCGGGGGGCCCACGTCACACCCCCACCCGAAGCCTGGTCCAGCCTCTCTCTGAGCCTGGCCGCCAGCCCCGGGGCCCACGAGCGCCCTCCCCGGGGTCTCCTCCTGACCGGAGGCCTTGGTGTGCAGGTGGAGGAGATCCGCGGCTTCATTGACAAGATCTCGGAGAACGTGGAGGAGGTGAAACGGAAGCACAGCGCCATCCTGGCCTCCCCCAACCCTGATGAGAGTGAGTGTGGAGGACTGAGGGGCAGCTTCCAGGCCTCCTGGAAGGCGCGGCAGCTGGGGAGGGAGGGGCTCCTGGATCCCCAGCAGCCTCACTGTTGGGCGGCTGAGGGGTACCTGGGCCTGGCCAGGGTGGGGAGGGCCCCGTGGAAAGCTTCAGGGAACACGGCTGGCCCAGGCCTGGGGTGGGGGGCCTCCGGCCAGCCCCGCCCCCGCCAGGTAAGCTGGGTGGGAAGGCGCAAAAGGCAGCCTGTCTGCCCAGCCCCTCCCTTTCCCGAGCCTCCCCGGGCAGCAGATGGCTGCGCCGAGCCTCAGCGCCGTGGGAGGGCAAGCCGGCCGAGCAGGAGGAGCTTCCGGAAAGAGCTGGCAGCCCTGGCACCTGGCCACTGGTACCCTGGAGCCGGGCCTTCTCGGGGCTCTAGGAAGTCACCTTTCTCCCTGTGCACAGGGAGCCTCTGTGTGTCTGCATTCCACTCTGTCCCCACACAGGCCCCCCTGAGCCTCCTGTCACAGCTCCTGGCGAGGTGTTGATGACTGCCCTGCCCTGTGCCAGGCGACTGCACGCAGGCCCCAGATTCCTTCCCCTCAGCCCCCGGGGAAGCAGTGACAGCGCTGGGGCCCAGGCCTGGGACCTGGGCACACACACACTGCTCCTGCTGGCTCGCCTCAAGCACGAGCCCCGGGGGCCCCAAGAATGCGAGGGGGAGGGTCCCGGCGCTGGGCAGGCCTGGGGAAGCACTCAGGGCTGGGCATGCGAGTGGCCTGCAGCTGTGTCTGCCTGTCCCCGGCCCCTCGGCCCCTGGTCCGCCGGCATCCTCAAGCCCCCGGGAGAAATCTCTCCACAGCCCCCAAAGGGCGCTGGAACCCGAGGCCAGGGCCAAGCCGAGCGGGCCCAGTGCCGGGCCCTTGGAAAGCAAAATGAGTCCGCTGGGAGTCCGTGCCAGGAATGGGTGGGAAGGAGAGAGGGGCCACCCGAGGCAGGGCCCACGTTCAGTGTGGCCACCACGCATCGCCCCTCTCCCCAGAGGTTTGTCTCGGGTAGCAGCATGTGACGTCATATATCTTCCCGCGCATGTGCGTCTGAGTCTGCGTGTGTCCCCATGGGTCCCTCCTGCTGAGGGTCAGAGGGGGCCGGCTGTGGGAACAGGGTACTTTAAGAGCTGTCACTCCCCTGCTGGCAGATGGGGTGAACGTGGGGTGACAGACACCAGAAAGGATTCTCTCGGCTCCCTTGTCCCACCTTCCGCACAAGGTCTCCCCGCGTCATAGTCTGTAGCGACCGGTTCAGAATAGCCACCACGAGCCAAGCAGTCAGGACCGGCCAGTGGTCACTGATGTGGGGAGGGGGCTCCCCAGTGAAGGTTCTAGAGCGGAGGGAGCAGTTACCGAAGAGGCACCGGGAAGGACTACGGCGAGCGGGGGGGGCTTTCCTGGGCCAAGGGCTGCCCTGCCTCCCCTGGGGGCCGCCTTCCGGGCTGGGCTATTTTGGGTCTGAGCAAGAGAGGCAGAGACGGCAAAGCAGCTGGTAACCAAGTTTCGTTTGTACGAATGAGGTGCCCTCCTCCGCTCCTCGAAGCCCCCCACCTCACGATCCACTTAGTAGGTGCCCCCCCCCCATCAACTGCTGTAAATGCCCCCCTCCCAACCTCCTCTAGGAGAGGCCCAGCCCCAGAGGAAAGCAGACCGTGGATAGGACAGGCTCAGCCAGGAGCTCTGTCCTGGTTTCTCCAGGAAATAGAGTCCTGGGGTTGCCCTGAGGCTGGGGCGCTGTCATGAGTCATTGCTCCAGCCAGCACCCCAGAGGGAAGCAGCCACCCTGCCCCACTCGGCCAGCCACCACCACCCCCTGCCGGGGGTGGGGCAAGCTGGGTACCCCCCATGGCCTCTGCCAGCTTTAGAGAGATGGTTCCAGTTGGAACAAGGGCCAGATTCCCCCCACTTTGTCACAGAACCAGCCAGCTGGTGCTCCAGAGCCAACTGTGTGCCAGGGGGCACACCTGTCTGAGCCTCTTCTCCATCAGCTCCCATCTAGGCCAGGTGCCTCATGCCCTCGTCCACCCCCTGGGCCCTCAGTGCTTGGCCCCCACTGAGCTCAGCACCTAGGAAGCGGGGCTCAGTAGAACAGGGTCTCCCCCCGCCCAGGGTGCTCCGTGGAGGGGGGCTCGCTTCAGCCTGCCTGGCCCCTGGCTCTGTCACCCTATTGGCTGGATGTCTGTCCCCCTCACCCCCAGCTACCAGGTGACTCTAGGTGAGCCCGCACCCCCCACCTTCGACTCAGGCAAGCATCAAGTCAGTGTTCCCCAGTGCCGACTCCAGCATCTAGCTGCTCCACAGTTATTTCTGCCTTAAATTTAGACCCATCTGTTGTGTGCAGGGGGTGGGAGAGCCAGCAAAGGAGGAAGGGAGGCTCCTTGGAAGGCAGCACAGAGGGGGTGAAGCTGCAGCTGGTGTGGCCCCGGCCCAGGGTTGGAGGGGCAGGCAGAGCCTTAGCCAGCGGAAGGGGGGAGACCCGGGACCCAGGCTCTGCCCGGAGCCCCACGACCGGGCCCCCTGCACCAGGGGCTGAGCCTGAACGTCAGGCAGCGGGGGAACCCTGGGCATCTACCCTCTCCCCCTTCTACCTCCCCAGAGACGAAGGAGGAGCTGGAGGAGCTCATGTCTGACATAAAGAAGACCGCAAACAAAGTTCGCTCCAAGTTAAAGAGTGAGTCTGGGCTCCATCCAGGCCTTGTCTTGGGGGGCGGTGGGGGGCACTCTGGGCCTGCCTCCTCTGCATTCCGCGGGTCTCACGGACTCGGAGGGGTACACTGGGTCTTGCTTTCCTTTATGAGGGTGCCATCACATGCCCATTCTCTCAGCTGCTACTTGGCAAGGCTTGTTTGGGCCAGGCTCGGGGCCGGGCCTCGGGACAGATGCCTGAGGCTTCAGTGAGGGAGTGCTCCACTCTGGGAATTGTCCCCCACTTCAGCTAAAGAGGGCTCAAGGGGTGGCCAGCACCGCCTGGTCCCACACACAAGCCCCATGCGCTTGTGGGAGCCCAGAGGTGTATAGGCCCAGGGGCCGCCCCTGGCGGCCCTCCCCACTCTGGGCATGGCCCCTTGTTGGGCGCACAGGCTTCCTGAGCAGAAGGCCGGGTGGGCCCGAGCTGCCGGGCCTAGTACGCAGTAGGCGCTCATACACACAGAGCTTGGTGGGTGCCTGAGGCCTCGCAGATGGGTGTGCATATGTGCACACCCCGAAACCTGCATCGTGCCCGGATGGGCCCCTGGCGGCCCCTCCCACAGTGCCTGGCGCACCCTCTTCCTCTGCTTCCTATGTGGCTCCCCCCGCCCCCGCCACAGTCCACACTAGACCCTCCCCAGGGGAGGTCCGGAGCCAGATCCTGGGTGTGTGGGTCCAAGAGGGAGGGGACAATGGTGAGGGGGACGGGTTATGGCTCAGCAGCCCCCCTCTCCCACAGGCATCGAGCAGAGCATCGAGCAGGAGGAAGGCCTCAACCGCTCATCCGCGGACCTGAGGATCCGAAAGACACAGGTGCCGCCGGCGGGCCTCCGGGGGGGCCCGGCGGGCTCTTGAGGCCCTGGGGCTCTGTGGAGCTGGGCCTGACACTTGCACCCCCATCTTGCACCCCCAGCACTCCACGCTGTCCCGCAAGTTTGTGGAGGTCATGTCCGAGTACAATGCCACGCAGTCTGACTACCGTGAGCGCTGCAAGGGCCGCATCCAGAGGCAACTGGAGATCAGTAAGCTGAGAGGGGGCGGGCAGGGGTGAGGGGCGGGGCCGGGGCTGAGCCCCACGGGGTGTGCAGGGCTCAGTGCGACCCCTGCTCACAGCTGGCCGGACCACGACCAGTGAGGAGCTGGAGGACATGCTGGAGAGCGGAAACCCCGCCATCTTTGCTTCTGGGGTGAGTGTGAACCACCCCGCCCCGCCCTCACCCCTAGCAGGGATCCCTGGTGTGTGTGCAAAGTGCTGAGGCTGGGGGCAGTCTTTGGATACAACCACCTTGCGAGGCCGGTCTCAGAGAAGGCTGAGTCCCAGAGGAAAAGGGACCAGACTAGGCCACTTAAATATTAGTGGCACAGGTAGAATTAAGACCCTCATCTCCTGCTTCCTCTCAATTGGGTGCACTTCCTTGCTTCACCGGCCAGGGGCTCCTTCCGCCATCCTCAGGGCCTTGTTCCTCTCCTGGGAGACACGGTGCCATTGGCCGCCTCCACGTTCAAGTGACAGTTGAGCAGGGGGCTTCCTGAAGGAGGCGGCCCACAGGGTGGAAGGCAGGTAGGGGCTGTGGGTTCCAGGAGAGAAGGGAAGGGCTAGTTACCCTCTCCAGGAGGCTGACCGGAGGGGCGGGGGGAAAGGGAGAAAGGTGGTTCAAGGCCTGGGTCCTTGGGGGGACAGTCAAGTTGGCCTCTATACAAGGCTGGTGAGCAGTGACCACGTGGTGGGCACAGGTGGCCCCCATCAGCACCGAGAAGTGCGTCCCCGAGAAATCAGGTAACAGCTAGTAAGAACCAAGCAGGAAGTGGGGGAGCGCTGTGGCTGAGGAGGGAGCCACCGCCCATCCCAGCTGCCTTCGCCCTTGGCCGGCCGTCCTGGTCCGGGGCCCCCCCTCCCTGCCCGCTGCGGCAGGCTCCTGGGTCCCCAGCCCACTGCTCCCACCCCCTAGATCATCATGGACTCCAGCATCTCAAAGCAGGCTCTGAGCGAGATTGAGACGCGGCACAGTGAGATCATCAAGCTGGAGAACAGCATCCGTGAGCTGCACGACATGTTCATGGACATGGCCATGCTCGTGGAGAGCCAGGTGAGAGCCTAGGGCCCCACTGGCCTCCGCCCGCCCAGCCCACAGCAGCACCCAGGGCTGCACTAACCCCTACCCTTTTTGCCTGACACGCTGCCCTGCCGGGAGGGACCAAGGCTCCAGGTAACTAACCACCCGCTGTGGACACCGCCTCCAGGGCCAGGCCCACCCGGAGGACCCCATCCTCTGCATGCTCTGCTTGGCCCGCCGGGACCCCAGGCCCTGCATGGCCCTCCACCCAGCCTTGTCCTGTCTTATTCACCGGCCGCCTGGCACGGGGGCACTGTGGACGGCCGCTTTTCTAGGAGCTGGAAGTATAGTAGTGACCAGGACAGCGGAGGGCCTGCTTCCTGGAGCTCATGTCTGGGGGGCGGAAGCACAGCATAAGGAAATGACAGATGGAACGTTCTCCAGTTGTGCCGGGTGCTCAGATGTTAGCAGGAGGCAGTGAGATAGAGCAGTGGTTCTCCAGCTCTAAAAGGCCCAGGAATCACGGGGGGCGGGGGGGGAAAGGCCGGCCTTGGAGGTTTCCTGGTCCCCGGTCCCAGAGATGGGTAGGTCAGAGTGGGGGCCCGTGAATTTGCATTTCTAACAGGTTCGAGGGGGGTGCTGATGCTGCTAGTCCCAGGGCCACACTTGGGGTAACACCGTAATAGCGTCCCTGCGGTGGCCACTTTGGACGGGGGTGGTCAGGGAAGGCCTCTCTAGGAGGTGGCATTTGAGCTCGGAAAGTTTCCCAGGGTCCCAGGGTGAGTGAAGAGCAGGACCAGCAGGACCTGGCCCCGAGGCTGGCAAGAGCCCGGCTCACTGAGGAGGTCGTGCGACTGGAGCGACTGGAGCGACTGGGGCTCGGTGGGGCGGGAGGGTAGTGAAGAGGAGGCAGGCGGTGGTGCTGGGCTTCTGGGTTCTCTTCTAGACCGGAGGGTCTGAAGTGTGGGGGTGGTGCGAGCCGAGCTGGGACGCCGGGCGGCCACGAGGAGGCTGCTGCCACCATGGGCTGAGAGACTGCGGCGATCTGGACACCGGCGGGCGCAGTGGACTTGGAGAGAGTGGTCATTTGTCACGTGGGTCTCGGGCAGCGTCATGGTGGGAGCGGCCTCTGGGGGCTGCTGGGGCCAGATTACGGGGCCCAGAAGAGCTACGGGAGTAGGCAGGGGGTCTTCAGTGTTGAAGACTGAAGACAGTCGGAGCTGGGTGGAACCACCACACCAGCGAGGAAGGAGTGGGACCCTGTCCAGAGCACCCTCTGCTGCCCCCGCCTCCCTCTGCCTCGCACCCAGCCCGGCTGAGCGCCCCTGCATGGTCTCCACCCCCTTGGCTGAGACTGCACGGCCAGGTCCCCTCCCAGGATGGCTGCTCTGCAGGGAAGAGAGGGTGCTGCCCCGGGGGCCTGGCCTGAGGGGGCACAGGGAGAGGCTGTACCCCATCCTCACGCCCCCATTTTTCCTCCTCTGCCCTCAGGGTGCTTCCCCAGAGTCCTGCCCTGAGGGGGGCCCACTGGAGCTGACCGGCACCGGCCCTGCAGGGGGAGATGATTGACAGGATTGAGTACAACGTGGAACATTCGGTGGACTATGTGGAGAGGGCCGTGTCTGACACCAAGAAGGCCGTCAAGTACCAGAGCAAGGCACGCCGGGTCAGTAGCCCCCCTCTGCCCATTAGAGCCCCTGGGGGCCACCACGGGTCCCTCCCCACTCGGCCTTGACCCCATCTCTGGGCTCTGACCCAAGCCCTCACCTGAGGCCTTCAGCTCCCAGCTGTCACCCCCCACCCCCGCCCGGTACATTCCAGGCAGCACCTTCCCCAGTTCCAACTCTGGTTCCATCCCCCAGACCCCCAACCCCCAACTCGGCTTAGGGACCCCTCTCCTTGCATGCCCCGCCCCTCCAAGCTCTGACCCAGCCCTCAGCCTCCCTCCCGGGTCTGAGGCCGCTCCTTCCTGCCTCCCTGGTGCAGAAGAAGATCATGATCATCATCTGCTGCGTGGTCCTGGGCATTGTCATCGCCTCCACGTTTGGAGGCATCTTCGGCTAGAAAGCACCCCACCGGCCACCCCACTCGGGACGGTCTGCCCTCAGGAGGCCCCCTGGCTGCTGCCGCCTTCGGGCTCGGAGCCCCTTCCTTCCCAGCCCACGCCGCCCCTTTCTCTGCCGTAGGGCCCTCCGTACCCACCGTGCCCTGAGCCGTCGTGTGCATGATCTCTGTGACAGTGTGTGTCTGTACCGGGGAGCGAGCGGGCTGGGGCAGGTCCGCGGCAAGGACAGACTCAGGCCCTGGCCCAGGCCGCCTCCCCCTTCCCAGGTGGCGCTGCCGGGGGTAGCCGTGCTCCCCTTCCCCCGCCTCCCGTTAATCCCACCCCAGCCTGGGGTCTGCCCTGGCCTCTGGCCTCTCCAGCTGTGCCCCGAAGCCGAGCCCCCTAAGGGGTGGGGACCAGCTGGCCGCACGGTGCTGCTTTTCAGGCTAAGGAAGGGGTGGCCCTGAGAGGCAGCCCAGCTCTAAGCCTCTACCAGCTGACCACTGCCAGGGAGGCTCAGGGTGCAGTGGCCAGGTGGCTTCTGGCTTTGCCACGACCGGGCTCCCTGCCCGCGTCAGGGCAGAGTCCAGCAGGTCTTGGCCGCCTCATACTCCCTTCCCACGTTCCCACAGCCCTGGGAGCAAGCCCTCTGGGCTATGCCTGACCCCAGGTCACGTTCTACGAGAGGCTGCCCGGTGCCTGGTTTCCAGCCACCCTTCGAGCTAGGGAGGCAGACGGGGCCCGGCGGGCCCCTGCCAGAGCCGAAGCCCACGCCCCGGGCCGGCCACCCCCCCCCCGGCAGGCCTCGGTCAGGTTCTCAAGCCATCGGGTGTTGCATGTTTGGGACAATGGCCCCTGCTCTCTTGCGCTCTGGGAAGTCAGACGTCATTCAGGCCTGCAATCGCATCCTGCCCTTGCTGTCCCCCACTAACGTGCCACGTGGGTGTCGGGTGTCTGGGATGCGGTATTCAGCAGCCAGCCGGGGAGGAGTACCTCCCTCCTCCGTCTCGGGGCTTCTCAAGTCGGAAACGTGCCCCCACCCAAGAGCCCTCTTCCTCACTGACAGGCTCGGAGTGTGCATGCGAGTGCATGCAGTGGGGGATGGGGCCGCGTCCGTGCCCCGCCTTCCCTCAGCTCTGCTCCTGCCCAGTGACTGTGACCACTGTCCGTGTTGCCTTCTTCAACCGCGACTTCCCTCCCCTCCTTCACCCCTTCACCAAAGGTCTTGGTACAACCAGCTGCCCATTTTGTGAAATTTTTATGTAGAATAAACATTTGTATCTGGATTTCTTACGGTCACAGCGTCACAGCCTTAGAACTCGGGGGTCAGTGTGCATAGCACGAAGAGGAAGGAGGGACTCTCCCTCAGCCTCCAGCCTCCAGATCCTCCGGCTCCTCCGGCCCAGCCTGAACGTCTCCACTCCTGCTTGAAGCCTGATGCCCGTTCTGTACTGTGGGCCCATAGCTACCCCCTCTCCTCCTGCTTTTCCAGGAGTCACAAGCGACCCCCAGATCCCCTCCACACCCCAGGGCAGGACTTAACCTGCCCTTCTGACCACTAGAAATCAGACAGGAGACATGCCCCCAAAGACAGGCAACCAAGTGCTGGGCCGATCAGCAAGTGGTGCAGCTCACGGCCAAAGGTCAGCCCAGGCCACAGGCTGGGTGACGGTGACGCCTTTAACAGGAGGGCAGCCGGAGGAGGCTGGGCGATGGCCTCAGGGCAGTGGGTCCCAGTTTCATCCTGCCCATGCTTCTCAAATCGGCCTCGTGCTGCAATAGATAAGCAGCCTGAAATCCAACCTGTGTTCCTTGTACGTTAAAAGGGTACTTTTCATACATTTAAGTTTTGCAAGCCTCATCTCGACCTGGGGAATCAGGCAGCGGCCCCCAGCAGTAGAGGGACCCAAGAAATGTGTTCAGGATCAGAGCTAAAAAACGCCAGAGCCCCGGTTCACAAAAAGTGGTTTATTGCTTTTAGAACAAGAACTTCTGTTAGTGAAAGGAAATGGTTAGAACTTGAGAACTTTCCTGAAACAGTATTCTGTCAGCTAACGGAACTAGGCACTTCGACAGAACCCCCGGCGGGCGACAAGGTGGGTGACAAGGCTTGTCGCTGGGCCTCCAAACACGTCCAGCTCGCCGCTCAGAAGCGGGGCCTGCGCTTGCGGCCGGTGTACCGGGTGTCCGGTCTGACGTCCCTGTGGCGAAGAAGTCACGGGCCAGTCTCAGAGAAAAGAACAAAGAACCCCCGGGACCCCTCCAACTGCAGGGGAGCCCTGCGCAGCCGCAGAGCCCGCCCTCGCCGGCAGCCCAGCCCCAGCACTCACTTGCCCTGCCGCCTGCGCCGTGCCTTCTTCCCTAGCACCCACTCGCGGCTCTTCCTCACGACCCCGCGCCTCGCCATCCTGTACAGGACCCTGCGTGGGAGACACCGCTCTGAGGGGACGGAGGGCGTAGCTCACCCGTGCGGGGCGCAACAGCCATCCTCCCGTGCCCCTGCGGCCACCGAAGTCCCCGCCTTCAGACACCCTCTCCTCCCTCAGTGATCCCCCCTCACATCCCCCCCCCCCCCGCCAGGCCAAAGCTATTGGGTAGGAGGAGAGCAGGAGGGGAGAGGCCCCGCACTCCCCCACTCCCCCCGTGCATCCGCTTCAGTGTCTTTGTTAGGTGTTGCCCACGGGGCAGGCAGGGTAAGCCACGCTACTTTTGGGGCAACACAGGCAGGATGAGCTCATGAGAGCCTGGCACCATCCGAGGAGAGCCGGAGGCCCCGGGCCCAGTGCTGCCACGTTAGCCCCTCGTCTGACTGTGGGGTTCGCAGGCCTGGGATAGACCACGTGGGGGCTCCCGGCAACTCCAGATGTCTGAGGCAGGAAAACAAGGCTGCCAGCTCACGGCAGCCCCGACAATGATCCTCAAGGGCTGATCTTGGCCTCCAGCCCTGGCTGAGGAGAGGGACCCCCTCACGCAGCCCCGTGGGAGAGAGGCCCTGAGAACAGGGAGAGCCTTTGCCCACCCCCCCAAACCACATCCCCACCTGGCAGCTGGGATCAAACGGCTTCCAGCGTAATTCCTGCCGTGCAGGGCTGCTCAGCATTTGAGTAACAGCCATTTCCCGAGCACCTGAGCGCATGACCCCAGGATGTCCTATGGTGGATAGGAACCAGACTTGCCCCCGAAGAGCCCGCGACCGGGCCATGGCAGGGACCAGCCACACCAGGCAAAGCGAGTGCGCAGAGGCCCAGCAGCTGCTAAGCGAGTGACACAGAAAAGAAAAGCAGAGTCTGGGAAAAACAAGAGGGCTGCTGAGACCAAGCGGGTGATTCTGCAGGCAGGTGAGGCAGTGCCATGACCAGAGCACCACAGGCGGAGGCGCTGGAAGGACCGAGCACGAAGTCTAGGGACAGAAGAGTCCTGTGAGCCTGGGACGAGAAGGGCAGTGGGATCTTGAGGGTTGGAAGCACACGTTCCCTCCCTGCCTGAGGGCCAGTCCATCACAGACCCTGGCGGCTACTGCTCACCTGTTCTGACCTAGTAACAGAAGTCAGCATCATTCAAAACAAACTCAGGGGCGCCCGGGATGGCTCAGTCAGTTGAGCATCTGACTCCATTTTGGCTCAGGTCATGATCTTGGGGTCTTGACACTGAGCCCCACTTCAGGCTCCACACTCAGTGTAGAGTCTGCTTGGGATTCTCTCTCTCTGCCCCTCCCCCCACTCTCCCTCTCTAAATAAATAATAATCTTAAAAAAAAAATATTTCAGAATCTCACTTGGCTTACAGGCAAGGAGCATGTTGTCCCTTCAGTAAGCAGGGAGCAGTCAGAGACATTTCCTGGCAAAGGATTGACATGATCTAGACCCTTCGGTGTGTACAGGCAGGGGTGCACGAAAACAGAATGCCCACGATCAGAGGGCAGGAGTCTGAGGCACCAAGTGCAAAACAGGTGGGAGCTGCCAACTGGGGGCTGGAAGTGCAGGACCGATCAGCAGGAAGGACGAGCTGGGGGGCCAGCTGTGAGCCACAGAAGGAATGATGGGGGAGAGCCGTCAGGGCAGATGAAGGGAGCAGGGGGAGGCAGTAAGTGCCCCAGACCAAAGGTGCCAAGAGGGAAGTTGGTCGGAAGCTGCAAATGCCACAGGTGGACTGAGTCCTCAGAGAGACAGACAGAATGATTAGAAATGACAAGAACGAGAGAAGCCCTGATTATCCTTCCAACGGACAACAGCCTTGCCCCCTGGCCCCAGCTGAGGGCCTGCAGAACTGGGCTGACAGGCCCGGGCCGCACACTGCCGAGCCCAAGCACAAACACGCTCTACTCATCAATGCGCTGCCCGAGTGCGGGCTTTACCCCCTCAGGTAGATGAGAAACGGCTGCTTACCTAAGTTTACAGCTAGCGTGTGTCGTCTGTGAGCACAAGAGGGACTGTACCGTGGGTGGAGGGGGCTGAACCACGTGTGGATCCTCTGTGAGGTGGGAGGGCGTGCCACTCGCTGGGAGCAAGTGGTGGGCACCTTAGAGAACACATCTCAAAGAACCCCCCCCAAATCCCCATGGGGAATGGGCTGAGGAACTAAGGCAGATGACCACAGAGGATGGAGGGGGGTTCAGGGGGGCAGGGGGCTCCAATCTGCGGTGGACATCAGGACCACACTCGTGATCTTCACCACTTGTGGCCTTCCAAACTCACTCAGGCTCTGCCCGTTTTTCCTCTTCAATGTCTTAAAAACCTTGGGGCTTTTGCACTCCCATCAGCCAGAACGAAGAAATAACCTCTGCTGCCTTACCATCAATTATCCAGTCAGCGAACACTGGATACCATTCACTGACAGGACCCTACTCTGACATCAGGGATACATCAGCGGTCCCCAAGTTCTCCTTCCGGCCGGAGAGACACCGGACCACCCAGGAACCACATGTGCGGGTTTCAGAGCGGTGGAAGGTGGAGGGAAACAAGGGTAAGGAGAACTCAACCACGGACACTGGAAGAGAAAAACGGCGAGACGGAACCGCCCTTTTTAGAAAATTAAGGGAAAAGAAAAGGACTCGTCCTGCTGCCACGTGGAAGAGAAATTCAAAGGGTCAAAGACTCAGAGCGGAGGGAGGCCAGCCCAGCAGCGTCTGCATCAGGCAAGGGGAGTGGTGGGGGCTCAGGCTGGGGAGGGGAGGGGAGGGGAGGGGGCTGCTGTGTGGACGGACACGGGCAGCAGGGCGTGAAGGACTGGCTGGAGAGGAGATCAGAAAGACAGGAATGAGGAGGGGAAAGAGCAGAGGAAGGGAGTCTCGGAGTGAACAGCAAGAGCTTCGCTGGGTCCCAAACACCTGCGGGAAGTCTGGTACGGATACCAGGGGGGCGGTTCGGAAGCTGCAGGTGGGGCTGAGGCCACAGGCATAAATCCGGAGCAATGCACCTAGGGTTGGTGGCTAAGGCGGCAGGGGGAGAAGGGGTCCAGGCTGGGCCCCAGGGTGCTCGGAGAAGGAACAGCCAGCGAGGCGAGGAGCAAACCGGGATGGCGGGTGGGAGGCCGGGCAAGGAATGCACCAAGGGAGCAATCGGCTGCGTTGGCGCCGACGGAGCAGGCAGGTTGAGAGGACAGCAGAGAAAGACTGAGAAGTGGCCAGATTTGGCAGGACCGAGGCTGCTGTGGCCTTGACAAGAGTGACCGGTGAGGAGACAGAAGCAGGAGCAGAGAGCAGGGGTGAGAGGATGGGGCGGCAGAACAAGAGGCAGGTATGGATCTGCTCCAGAGGGGATCCAGGTGCGGGGCTACTGGAGAGGACAGGAGAGACGGCGCAGCGCATCTGCGAGCGGATGGGAATGAGCCTGGAGAGTAGACAAGAGCGGAGGGAGAGACGGAGGGGATGCGGGGGTCCAGGACACAGGTGGGGAGGGAAGGCAGACAGAGGAAAGACTGAAAGCCGCATGGCTGTCCAGAGACATCCAGAAGGGTCCCAGCTGCCCAGCCTGACGCAGGGGCAGGGACAGGCCCCAAAGGCTCCCCGCTGTCACCACCGTGGTGCTACTGCCACCCCTGGACCTGAGAGACCTCGTGAAAGTGGAGAGCCACCCTGTCTGCCAGCCCCGGCAGCAGCGAGCCCCCAAACCCGAGGCAGCCCGAGCAACAGCTTTACCTCTCTCTCGTGAACTCGGACTCCTGGACCTCCTCGTCATCGTCGTTACTCTCATTCAGGGGCTGCGGGGACCAGAGTGCTCTTAGATCGTCCAGGCGGTCTCCCCACGCGCCTGCCCCACCCCAGGAGGCCGGGCCACCCAGGCCTGAGCCCTTCCAACAGGTACTAGGTCAGCCCCACAAGCAGGGAATCCAAAGGCCACAAGCCTGCAAACTCTGGGATCCTTACCTTTGGCAGAAAGGTTGAAGGCCCAGAAAACAAGCAGAGGTAGAACCTGAAACCAGAAAGGACAGTGATGGCTGAGCTCATAAAGCCTTGTGGGGGCGGGGAGGTAAGTCCTCACGCACACTCCTTCAAACACACAGGTGCAGAACCTTGAGGGCCCCGGGGACCCAGCCCTGCACGCCTCTGGCCCCCGGCACTCACTTCTTGGCCTTGGCACTGTTGGGGAAGTCCACCACCACGCCACCCGTGAAGCCAGCCTTGGTGGCCTGGGTTGTGATCAGCTCCAACTGAGGAGAGAACGGCAAGTCAGGCAGGGAGGCTGGGAGAGCAGACGGCTTCCTCTCCGCCTCCCTTCCAGAAGCCAGTCTGCCCCCAGGATGCACCCTGCCCAGGGGGAACTGAAGGTCTTCATCAGACTGTTCCTCATTCTGAGTCCCCAAAAGCTACACAAAGGAAAATGCAAGCTGGAACCAACAATTCCCCCCAATTCTCTTTCTAGCCCAGGGACCCATCTCAGGAATGAACGGTCATCAATCAGGAGGCAAACTCGTTATGTGAGGGGCTGGAGACAGCTCCCCACTTGTCTTTCAGAATCTGTACCTCTATTCCTCATCCCCATGGTTGACACTCCACAGGGCAGACAGCTCTGCTGTTCTCTCAAATCCTCCCCAACTTCCATTCATTTGACTATGGGAACCAGAATTATCCTATTAATTATAATACCACATGTCTGTCAGTAGAAGACTGAACGCCCTTATCCTGACCCCCGCAGATACCACTACTCTTCCCCAGGATGACAGGTCATAACACCCGCCATCAGTGGCAACAGGAACCTCTCGGAGGCTCGCTCCCTACTTTTCCCACCAGTCAGCAACAAGTTCCTCATTCTGTCACCTCCCAACAGCGGGAGGGCAGATGAGTGAGGAGCAGGACAGCTTACCTGTTCTGGGTCCCTCCCCCTTCCCTGCACCTCCAGGAGCCTGAGGGGCTCGCTCACCTGCTCTGAGTTCTCAGGGTACAGCTGCAGGACAGCACGGGCTCCACGGACCTGCAAGCAACAGAAACATCACTCTCCTACAAATATACCATGTGCTCAGGGCCCAACACTTCTCCATTCCTTGTTCACTCAGTATCTGAAACCCCACTAGCTTCATGACACTGTTCATAGGGCTTGGGATACAGCTGTGAACAGAGGGAGCCCCAGAACTTTCGGAGCACAGGTTTCAGTGAGAAAAGCTGCCAACTTACAGTACTGATGTAGTACCAAGAAGAAAAATGTATTAGGACGAAAGAATGGTGAGGGACAAGAAGACTGTTGGCTTTACTTTTGGTTCAAGGAAGGCCTCTGAGGGACACTTGAGCAGAGTCCCGAATGTAATGGGGAGCTGGCTAAACATAGGAGAGAAAACCACTTCAGCGGACAGAAAGGCAAACACAGGCCATCAGAACCTCGGATTAACTCCAGTGCATGCGTGACCGAATCCACAGGACGCGTGAGACCAGCCAGCCATATGCAAAAACCACCCATCCTAGGAAAACCAGGGATGCGGTGGGGAGATTAAGAAGACCAAGAAATACCTGGATCCATTCAAAAAAGTAAAAGAACTCATTTTTAGGACTTAAAATCTCAAATCCTCTAATCCTGTAACACAACCAAAATCAACACCATCGGCGCCTGGGTGGCTCAGTTGGTTAAGCGACTGCCTTCGGCTCCGGTCATGATCCTGGAGTCCCTGGATCGAGTCCCGCATCGGGCTCCCTGCTTCTCCCTCTGACCCTCCCCCCTCTCATGTGCTTGCTCTCTTTCTCTCAAATAAATAAATTTAAAAAATCTTAAAAAAAAAAAAATCAACACCATCAGTTATGAAGACAAGATAAAACTTAATAAAGGCTCTGTGATAAATAACCACCCTGCTCTCCATCTGAGCATCAGCAGTAGGAGAGAGAGAGGGGTGGAAGTCAGAGGATGTGGGCACTCTGTGAGCCCTGGACATGATGTCTCTGTCCTCGCTCTGTGGAGTCCATGCCCCCAAACTAACTTCCAATTAAAATTCAGTGCAGTGGGGACACAGGAATTGTGATCAGTCTCAGATTTTGACATCAACATCTTCTGCATTTCGTTAGGGATGTCAGACCACTGAGCTTTCTCTTTAGACTGAACACCAAGACAAAAGTAACCACAATTAAGGTCCTGCCACCCCTTTTGGGTCCTGCGGTCCCATTTGAATGGCTTTCTCATGGGCCGCTTCCTACTCCGTCACTACCTGCAAGAGGGAGAAGCAGCCAGCCCAGACTGGGAGATCTCATACTCACCAGCACAGAGTAAAGAGAAGAAAAGAAGCAGTACAGACGCTTGGCAGGGATGTCAGACTTCTTGTTTGCGTTACAGAGCCACTGTATAGCAGAAATGCTGAGAAAGGAAGGGACCCAGTCAGGAGAGGGAGGAACACACATTGCTCCCCCCAGCCTCTTTGAGACTTTAACACCATGCACATCCTTGAGCCCCAGGTGAAACCCTCCTGCTCATAATTCTCTTTCTGGGCACATGCAGACCCACTCCAGCTCACCATTCTACAACTGGACAGAAAAGGGTAAATAGAAGGTCAGCATTAACTTCCTTGCAGCCAGTCCAAACAAGTATTTTCCCAACCTTGTTTCTGTGTGCGTCTCGAATTTAAAATTACACAGCATGTCAAGGCTCTCTGCCACCTAGCCCTTCATTCCCTTCCTCTAAACAAGGGAAAACCCCTTTATAGTAAACACAATTACATTCACTATCCTCCTCAATCAGTTCCTTTAGCTGTACTCACTCGGTGTCTTCAACCCAGATTTAAAAACTTCAAGCAGCTACTATATACTCCTCTCAGGTACGTCCCCGTTCACTGCTGTGCACACATATCCACAGAACCCCAAACCCTGACGGTCTGTCCAAATGCCTCTCCCAGCTTTTAGTTCTCTCTACCACTCTCCTGGGTCAGCACTACTCACCGCCTCCATTGCTTCATCTTGCTTCTCTTCTTTTAAATAATCTTCCCAAAATACAGCTCTGCTCTTGTCACTCCCTAGCTTCCCACTGACTACTCAATAAAGCCCAAACTTCTCAGCTCCTTTCCCTGGCTACTTCTGTGCCTTTGCTCACGCTGTTCCTTCACTCAGAAACCCTCCCCACGACTATCCAAACTCCTCAGAGCCTTCAAGGCCCAACCCCAGCCCCTCCTTCTCTTCAAGGCTTTCCTGTGCTCTTTGGCTTCTCTTCACCGCTGTGGTGGGCCCCACGACTCCCCAGTCACACTCCACACTCAACTTCGGCTTTAGTTGTGTGGCCCGTGTTTATAGCACCTAATACACCATGGAGAGTCTTAAAGCAGGGACTGTGTTGTATTTCCACAAACTCCACAACACCTAGTACCACGTCCTACATCTAAGGAACGTTCAAATAAATAAATAAAATAATAAGCTTGCCATACTATCTCTCTTAAAAAACCCAAAACTGACGACTTACTCCTAAAATATACAAACCGTATCGCTGGCCTTCAGTTTTCTGCAGCTTAGAACATCTCACCCAATCATTACTAAAAAGCAACTGCTATCCTTGAAATGGGGTTTCCCCCTGATCTTGTTCCCAGATGTAAACTAATCCCTTACCCTAGAAGAAAATCTTCAAATCCAAATTTTACTGCTCACCCAGATCCCCACTGCTCAGTCCACAATCACAGGAGGAGGTATCCCCCCACCCCGGGTAAGGATTAAAGTTATGACTTCCTCCCTATCCCCTACTTCCACCCCATCAACAACACACCACACCAAACGTTCAACAGAACTCTACCACAGAAAACAACTTCACATTTCAAACGCTCATTTCGATGTTCTAAGATCTGTTACCAAAGTACTATGTAAATGCCGAAAACTTGACCCTGATGACCCAGAAAGGGCAGCACCACTGAAGAGACTGGAAAATTCTGGGCCACTCTCCACTGCAGAGCTATTCAAAAAGCAGCCAACAAGGTGGCTGCTGGCACCCACAAAATGGCTCCTGGAGGGGTGAGAAGACCACCCCTTCCCCCCCCCCCCCCCCCCCCCCACAGAGCAGACAGAGAATCTACACCAGCAGTACCTGAACCTGGCAGCACAAGATGATCAAAGGAGTAGACCGTTGCAAAATAGAAAAAACACATAATTGGGGGCACTGCTCTAACCTGGGGATGTGGGTTTTTAAGTATCCTGTGTAACCCTGCTGCACGGCCAGCCTGGGAAGCACTGACCTGCAGGACTACAAGCAGGAAGCGAAGACTCTGCTCACCTGACACAACCATCAAAGGAGCCTGGTTTGAAGGGGATGCCCTGGCCCATGTCCCCCAGAAGCAGGTCTCCCTCAGTGTCCCGGTCCAAGGCCGCATCTACATTGGAGAAGAGTCCATCAGGGAAAGAGACGACCCATACTGCTCCATACTCAAAACGAGTAGTCCACTCCGATGCTAAGTAGAACATACGTACCCAGCATGGCAGGGCTGATGTCGATGCCCACCCAATAGTGCCCTTCATCCGAAAGATAATCTCCACTCAGCCCAGAACCACAGCTGGAAGACACAAACAGGAACTCAACAGCGTGAGCAGCAACGACACTCCACCACCACCTGGACAACCTGAACTGGGCCCCAGGATCTCACCCAATATCCAAAAGGTAACAGGGCTGACCCTCAGGCAGATAGAGAAGCTCCAAAGCTCGCCCAGCCATCTTGGTCTGGACATCTATCATCCGTGAGCTGGGAAGGCAGAAAACACAAACAAGTGATAAAAGAATTCTGAGCTAAAACATCACCCAGAGCAAAAAAAAGAAAAGACGAAAAGAAACAATCACCCTGAGGTACTCTCCCAGTCACCATACTCAACTACTTAAAAGTGACCCCCAAAACCCACGTAATACAGCGACAAGCTACTTTGGGACACAAATCATAACTCTACCAGTTGCAATGCTAATGACTAAATGACTAATCATTGGGGATTTTCAACTCACTAAGGCCCTGATGTGGTTATTACTTAAAAACACATTTTCTGGAAGAATTACCCACCATAGTTACGCTCGTGTATAAAGCTCAACAATGCACAACAAAAATCCATAGCAGTACTGTCCGTAAGAAATATAACGCAAGCGGGGCGCCTGGGTGGCTCAGTCGGTTGAGCGACTGCCTTCGGCTCAGGTCATGATCCTGGAGTCCCGGGATCGAGTCCCGCATCGGGCTCCCTGCTCAGCAGGGAGTCTGCTTCTCCCTCTGACCCTCCCCCCTTCTCATGTGCTCTCTCTCAAATAAATAAATAAAATCTTTAAAAAAAAAAAAAAAGAAAGCTGACTGGTTGGGGCGCCTGGGTGGCTCAGTTGGTTAAGCGACTGCCTTCGGCTCAGGTCATGATCCTGGAGTCCCGGGATCGAGTCCCGCATCGGGCTCCCTGCTCGGCGGGGAGCCTGCTTCTCCCTCTGACCCTCCCCCCTTCTCATGTGCTCTCTCTCTCAAATAAATAAATAAAATCTTAAAAAAAAAAAAGAAAGAAAGAAATATAACGCAAGCCACGAAAGACTTTCTGAGTACCACGATTAAAATGAAACACATTAACTGTAATAATAGTTTACCCAACCCAATATACCTGAGAACATATCTTACTTAACCCAATATGCTCTAAATATTTCAACACATCACCAACATAAAAAAAGCTTAATAAAATGTTAACATTTTCTTCATATCAAGTAATTCAAACTATTATTTCAATCGATGACTACAACTAATAAAAACAGGTCTATAGTTATAGTAGGTCTATCCATCCCAGGACCAAGAGAAAGAATCCAGAGCTCTGCAGCCGGCGAGAAGTTTATGTTGCTACATAATGACAATTGGACCAGAGATTTCTGCTGACTTTCTGGGTCTTGGACTCTAATTTGAATGGGAAGAAAGAGAACCGTTATCTCTAGACTAGTGTTTATCAGAAAGGGAAGGCTTGGAAGTCCCTGTTCTGGCCTTCAGCTGTTAAGTGACTTTATAGTTACACAACCACCCTCCGAAACGCAGATCGTACACCAGCAGTTCTCATGAGAACTTAAAAGACCTACAACCTTCTGTGAATACGCTTTCCTTCCCCTCAACAGCACCGACCCCTTACGCGGATCAACGGCCCCCTGCCGATTTCACCACATGCTTCAAACAAGTTGTCACCGAAAACTTCGAAAACCACCTGGAGAGTATGATCCACCCCCATTTTAATGCTAGTTTACGGAGGCCCGGAGGGTTCCGAGGTGTACTCACCGCTGACTTTCCCACTGTAAGAACCGGAATCAGTCCTTGTCCCTGCCTTCCCCACCCCCAACCCCCCCCCCTCCCAAATTCTGCGTGCTTTCCCAGCAATGCCCGCTGTTGGGTCAACCTGCCGGTTCCCGACCCCCGACGCCGGGCAACATGCAGGTTCCCCTTACTTGCGCACGTATTTCCGGGCTTCATTCTTGTCGTAAAACTGCGGGAAAGAAACAAGAAAAGAGCAGTAGAGGAGGTATCAAGATGAGGCAGGGAGAGGGGTGCGCGCGGGGCAAAGCCTCTCACCAGCTCGGGGGGCCCGCCGTGCTCCGGTCTCTTGCCGCGGAGCGCCATCTGCACGCCTCAGCCTCGAGACTGGCACTGGCGTTCCGGAAACCCGGCTTTTATGTCATCGGCCCCACGCCCGCCTCTTAGTACGCATGCTCCGCCCCTCTCCCCGCCTCCTGTTTTACTCGATTGGCTACAGTGCCGACGCGCTGCGAACAACGCACGCCTCCCATTGGCCAGTTCATCTTGCACCGCCCGCATGGTCCATCCAAGATGGCAGCCAAGCGCGATCTGAGGTGGTCGCGGCGGTTGCTGTGGAGGTTGTGGCTGGTCCCGAACGCTCCACAGAACCCGGGATCCGGCCTGGGCCTAGAAGCGAGGACTTATTCCCAGGGCGACGGCCCATACTCGCGCACCGCGCTCTATGAGCTGCTCGGCGTCCCCTGCACGGCCACGCAGGCGCAAATCAAGGCGGCCTACTACCGGCAGAGCTTCCTCTACCACCCAGACCGCAACTCGGGGAGCGCGGAGGCTGCCGAACGCTTCACGCGCATCTCCCAGGCCTACTTGGTGCTGGGCAGTGCCACCTTGCGTCGCAAGTATGACCGCGGCCTGCTCAGCGACGAGGACCTGCGCGGGCCTGGTGTCCGGTCCTCCAAGGAGCCCGCCGGCAATGCGGGCTCGCCCCGCGCCCCGCCACCTGCCTCTCGGGCGCACAGTCGTGGTCAGGCCGCGGCGGGCGCCGACCGCACCATGTTCGACTTCGACGCCTTCTACCGAGCGCACTACGGAGAACAGCTGGAGCGCGAACGGCGCCAGAGGGCCCGGCGAGAGGCCCTGCGCAAGCAGCAGGAGGCCCGGGCCAAGAAGGGCTTCCGCTGGGACGAGACCCGAGACACTTTTGTGTTCCTTCTCTTAACAGTCTTCGTCATCGTGGGCTTTCGTTCTTAATCGGAGAGAGGAGGAAAGGGGACCAGCCCCCAGCCGGCCTTTCCTGTCTTCTTGAACCCTCGCCTTCCATAGTCTACCTCTGCTGGGGTCCGAGGGAACTGCTCTCCCCCTCCTCTTCCCCGCCCGCCCAGCTTAGCCATTCACCTGCACGGCCCTCCCCTACGGTCCAGAAAAAGCTTTTCGATGCCCAAGAAGAAGAGTCCCGAAAGCCCGAGAGTGAAGGGTTTTCTGGAGTCCCTTGGGTGCCAATTCCAGAGGTTGCCTTCCTGATGTTGTCAACTTCTGGAACACTTGCTCTGGCTTGATTGTAAAGCTCTGAGCAAGCGTTGTCTGCTCCTGCCCCACGTTTGTACCGTGGGGCTCCTGTGTAACCTTGAACCGTGCAATGTGACCCGTTGTTGGCTGCCAAAAGAAAAATTCTGGGGTTGTCCGAACCTTGTGTTTCTGTGAGTTCCCCAGCCACAGGTGAGACCCGATGTAGGGTAAGAATGGGATCTTTGGAAACCTTGCCGTTTTGGTATGATCAGCCCTAGGCCCCACTCCCCCTTCTGTCCGTGGCATGTGGGAGTAGGAAAGCAAGGTCATGGAGCATTAGGAATCGAGTGCTCCTGTACCCATACTTATCTAATGTGTGACCTCAGAGAAATTACTCTGTGGCGTGACAGCAGAGGAACAAATCATTTGCTCTCTTGAGGTCTGTCACACTTGATTATCCAGTTCTAATGGGCTCAGTGATTAAAACATGATGTTAGCAGAGTCAGATTTATCCTTGGGACAATGTGCCTGTCTCCTGGTCATTCCTTGGCCAGCCACCCCGTCACTAACTGTGCAGCCCCATCCCCTCCCTGAAATAGAGCAACAAACGGGGGGTTTGAGTCCAGCAAACTGGGAATGTGGCCTGTCCTCTTGTTTAACCCCACAAGTCAAGTCCTTGAAACTTGGCTGCTTGAGTGTGGAGTAGACGGTACTTCTAAGGGAGAGGAGGCATGTGGTGGAAACTTGGGTCTTTATTCAGAGCTGGCTGAGGCTTTTTTCCCTCTGGGTTTCTAAGTCGAGCTAAGCGGTTGGTCATCACTTGGCTGGAGCTGTGGTAGTCAGGCTCTCGATTATGTGTCCCTGCACACGGAGTCTGTGTGTGGGCCGTGAGATTTCAGCTGCTCACGTATTTATGCACTGGGGCTAAGTGTAAAGCTGTGGGATAGGAAAATCTTTGCAAGAGTGAGGACAGAAGCGTAGGTTCTAAACCAAGCCAGAGGCGCATTGGTAAATTAGTAAGAACTGCTCTTGTGAAATCCTTGTAATTAGGATAAGGCCACAGCTCGTTCAAATTGGTGTCTCGGAAAGGATTTTGATTCTAGCCTTGGAAGTCAGGGGCAAGCTCTTAGGACTTTGCAGTGAGCACACGATTCAGTGGTAAAGATTTGAGCCTGCTTTGGATTCAAACTCGGTAGGCTCAGCTAGCCTTGGTTTGGGGGGAGGGGCACATGTACTTTTAGAAAGAACATTTAATGTTATTATGTTTCGTATTTGGAAAACAAGTCCTTTTTGAAGTACAAACAACAGGAAGTGTTGGGCTTAGTAAAATGTGCCAGAAACTTGGTGGTTCTCAACCAAGCAGCTGGACGCATAACAGCGTGTCCTTGGGGCGAGGTTCTATCAGAGTTTCTGTCAAAAAGGAGGATTGGTGTTCTTTTGGGGGGTAAAAGCACTAGTGGTCTGTGATAGCTGGGACCTTTCTCATGGGCTCCTTGATATAGACCTCCCCCAAGTTTGTTTTCTGTCAGTAAATATCAAAGCCAAGAACATTCCCTGGGGCCTCTGAACACAGAGGTATATAGAAGGTTCCAGAAGGTTGGGGGAGGGGGCAGACCCTGTGAAACTTCTGGAACATTCCATTCAACTCCAAGCAGGATAGTCAATAAAGTTCATTGATCATCCAACTGTAAACCTCTCCTTAGGCCTTAGAACCAGGCTCACGCTATTACAGTGCCATCCTACCTGCCTCAGGTTTGTTGTTTTTTTTTTTTTTTTAGCCCAGAGCTGAACTCGAAGTTCCCACTCAATACTCTCCCTAAAACGGAGTCTGGGTCCTTTATGGAAGGGGAGATGTGTGGGAGGCTTTTTGAAGGATCCCCAAACTGGTTCCCATCATATTTCCCCCTTCCCACCTATCCCCTATGATTGCCCTAAGTCGTTCCTTTCTCAGTTTCTTATCTGCCCTAAGGAGGAGAGGCTGAACCAGGCCATGAACGTTACCCCTGCCTTCTAGGGGCTGCTTCCCAATTCCTGATAGTGGAGGAAGGCTCAGACATGTTCAATTTTAGTCCCTTTTCTCCTTTTGATCACAAACTAAAACAAAACTCTCTGGAAAGTTGGACCTAGGACAGGAGAAGATAACAGCAGCCCAGCCTGCCTCAGACTGTTCACTGGGGTGGGAATGGGATTGCAAGTACAGCATGAGGGTGAATGAGCAGCACACACAAGTCCTGAACGGGGAGACACGGACAAGACAGTAGTCAAAGGTGTACTTGTATAGACAATCCTGATACTGTTTTTGGACTTGATCAGGACTTTATTTCTCCTGAGCCAAACTTTGCCCTTTGTTGCTTTTTGTTTATTGCTGGGTGAAGGGATCCTTTGCAGATCCCAGCGCTGAGGGAGTAGGATTTCTTGCTTCCCTTCTGAGGTTCTGGCATTTTGTTCACTCGGTGCACCTTGCCTTCCATAATGATCCTAGCATGAGCCAAGATGAATATGAATAGCCTACCTTAGACCAATGAGTTGTCCATTTGGTCTTTATATATATAGCGTGCGCGCGCGCGCACACACACACACAGTCCTTAAGGTCACAAGCCTAGGCACCAAGGATGGAGCCCAAGTAAGTTGCCACCATACTCCTTTTTGGAGAAATGGTAGCAGGGTGGGGGTGGCATACCTCAGACCTTCCTGGCAAGGTCACCAGATCCCAGGAAGAGAGGCTAGTAAGTGGTAGTGTTCCTTCAATCCTCTGTCTTGAATTCAGTGCACTAGAAATGTGGGCTCTATCCTGGTCTTTGCCTCCTCTCAATTCCTCAGCCTTGTGACATCACACACTGCCCCCTGCCTATGATCAGGATCATAGGAGGAAGCCTGCCTTGCCTACCTTCAGTACCTTGGTTCTCAGGCCCAGCTTGTGGGCCTGGTGGCCGTAGGGTTTGTGCAAAGCAGTTGAGGGTCCCTCTGTTACTTTGTGAGGATGACCATGAGACCTGAATCTAGGTCCTCGTGGCGAACTTGCATATACTGAGAACGCTCAGTGCCATCATCCCCAAGAAGCAGGTGCAGAGAGCTCCTCTTCACTTGCTGTGAGGTCATGGTGTCACTCTCAATCTCTCTCTTAAGGCTGGGGTCCTCTAACTAGACTTCAAGTGCGTTCGTCATCCCATCCTGCTTTGTGCCCCTTCAGCGTTCACACCCTCAGTTCTGGGAGGGGGCTGCTGGTAGACAAGAGAAGGCCTGTTTCAGGAGTACCAAGAATGGGCTGAGATCTGGTCCCACAGGCCACACAGCCAACTTGCGCACCGTGTCTGGCTGTGGCTAGCCCAGCAGCTTCAAAAGCTTTAGCCAATGTTCAGAACTTGGGAGACTGTATAAAAATCGAGATTTCTGACTTCTCTCAAAAAATGAGAAAACACGGGCACCTGGGTGGCTCAGTCGTTAAGCTATCTCTCTCTGTCAAATAAATAAAATCTTTAAAAAAGAGAGAGAAAACGTGCTGCCGTTGCGCTCACTCACACACTCGTACTGGCACTTGGGAAAAGCTGTAACATCTACCTTTTAGAGAGGACATGGCTCCCCCGTTTGCTGCGTTCCCACCAACAGCAGGGAAGTGTAAAAGGCCTTGATCTACACACTTGGCCGTTTTGCTCATAATAGAGAAATGTCTCTCTATGCACCGTGTCTACCAAAAAGGGAAAAAAAGGGACCATGCATTTTCCAAAAATGGGAGAGGGTGTATTTCTTTGTGGAAATGGACTGCTTTGCACCTCTGTGACCTTCCTAGCCCCAGCAGGCATTTGAGTTTGCAGACCCCCTAGGCTACATGATACGTTGTTGGAAGAGCTCACACTTTAAGCAGGGAGGCAGAGTGTAAACCTTATTTTCGTTGTGGGACAAGAAAGATCTTTTGAGAAGTCTACAGCAGTGGCAAGGTCCTGGACAAAGCAAGAGGTCCTTTGGTACATACAGTAACCTCAATTCCTGCACTCAATCTTTTGTGGAAAATCCTTGTATATATTGGGAGAAACCAACAGCTAGTCCAACTTGGTCTCTCAAACCATTTGATTCTCTCTAGTCTTGGAAGTCAGGGGCAAAGTTGTTAGCCCTAGCTTTGCAGTGACCACACCACAATTCAGTAGTAAAGATTTGAGCCCACTCTGGTTCAGGCCTGCTTGGTTCAAAAAGCCTTAATTGACCCCCCCCCAAAAAAATTATGTTTTATATTTGAGAAATAAGGGAAATAAGCTTAGGAAAATACTCAAGATAGTGATTCCTGAACAAGGATGTGTACATAACAGACTTTCTTAAAGGGCAGGAACTCTTTGTTTTTATCAAGAAGGGATAGAAGTTTTGTTATTTGGACAACTTTTTGGTTTGGTCTGTAAAAGCCCTGGTGGTCTATAATAGGTGGTACCCTTCTCAGGGGCCCCTTGATGTAGACTCCCAAGTTTGTTCTCTCTCACAGAGGATTGCAGTCAGGGACATTCCCTGGGGTTCTGGAACCTGGAAACAGAAAGTTCCAGAAGTTGTCAGGCGGCAGAGAGCCCAGACTGCCTGGAACCTTCCAGAGCCTTTCAGAACTTTCCATGTACCTTCAAGCATGAGGGTTAATGAAGTTTATTAACCATCCAACTCAAAGGCTTTCCCATGGCCCTGAACTGAGCCCATCCTCTCTCAGTATCTGTACCTACCTGCCTCGAGTCTTTTTTACGCCAGAGCTGAACAATAAAGGGCCTTGTTCCCTACCCCTTCTAAAACTGAGTTTGAGCTCTTAAAGGAAGGTGAGTGGTGTGTAAGACCCGTGTAAGGATATCATCTGGTTCCCTTGATAACACTTTTCTCCCCTCCCAGCCCCCACCCTTGGGGTCTGTCATTCCTTTTTCTTCTTCCCTGCCCTGGGGAGGGGATGCTGAACTACTAGGCTATGGCCATTAGCCTCTGCCTTCCAGAGGCTGCTCCCCAACTCACGATAGTGGAGGAGGGTTCAGACATGCCCAATCTCAACTCCTTTTCTCCTTTTGGTTACAAACCCACAACCCTGGAAGCAGGGAGCAGGAATGGAAAGCCAGGACAAGAGGGGCCCAGCCTGCCCTAGGCTGTGCTGAGAATGTGGGAGGTCTTCCAAAGCTGTTCAGTCTTCTCTCATCTTAGGCAGGTACCCTGTGGTTCTGGTGTCCATCAGCCTCTAGCAGCTCAAGCGCTAGCAGCGAGGACAGTGGGAGAACCAAGGCCAGTGTGGGGTAGAGCTGCTCAAGTGGGCACTACCCACACATGCTTTGATTGCACCCCTAGCAGGGTGCAATCTGACTGTCTGGACTTGAAGGGCTCTGGAAAGCTCACATGGGCCAATCCCTCCAACCGCTGCTGAAATCTCTACAGCTCCCATCAAGCAGTCACTCGGGCCCTGCGCACACCTCTTTATGGAGAGACCCCCATCCTTCCTATGGTTTCCATCCAGTGGTCTTGACTCTGACCTCTGGCTCTACATCTCTAGCCCTTGCAGGTTCAGAGGCTAACCATCACAGGTATCTCTAGACAGATCCCTCAACTATTCATTGTGGGATTTAGTCCCAGTCCCCTTTCTCATCGTGCACATTAGGGACATGCTAAGGAGACCAAAGGTGGTGGTTTGGGGGGGGGGGGTCACCCTTACAGTTTAAAACTTTAGTGAAGAGTAGAGCCAACCCAATACTTTTCCTCTTTCTAGATGGTTCTGTTCCTATTAACATGGACCAAGATCACATTCGCGTCTACAGCACTCTGCCTGCCCCCTCCTGTTTGCAGGACCTTCCAGGCCTCCCGGCCAAACTGCACCTCATTAGACTTGACCTAAGCTGACCCAAGGGCCTGTTCCTGCTCTCCCAACTTCTTGTCCCACCCTCATCGGCCAAGCTGGCTACCTAGTATTCACCGTAGTTGAAAACACGACCTTCAGCCTCACAGAAGCCCCTCCATCCCTCGGGGGAGGTGGTCATTTGGCAGGCCAGAGTAGGAGCAGGTACCATCCCGACTGGGCTTACAGGCAACCCAGGAGGAGAAGAAAGTGCATACAGGTGAGGCAGTTGGAGAACAGTGATGGAGCAGAGTTAAGAGTTAGGAAAGACTCCCACGGGTTGGTAATCAGAGAAGGCTTCATGGAAGAGGCAGCGGCAGTGTAGGACCTGAAGGACAGCTGGGCTTTTGGATGGGCGGAGAGGAAGGGAAGGCATCTCAAGAGGAGGACGCGCAGGAGCTCAGGTGTGGCGGCTGTAACAGCAGAGTGGCTGGCGGAGGGAGCAGAGACGAGTCGGGGAGCATCATCATCCTCATCATCACATTTATTGACGGCCCCTGGGAGGTGGGGCTGGGGACAGAACATACAAAGACAAGGACCTGCCCTCAAAAAGCTTCCATCCTAAGGAGACGGGCACAGAAAAATACAGAATGGTCTTTCCTGGGGATGGCCCACTTGCATCTGCGCAGGTCAGGAGCCCCTGGCCTACCTTGCCCCAGGGTCCGGAGCGTGAGTGGGGCACAGAGTAGCCCCAGGGCCATGGTGTCCCTGGCCCCGCGGCTGGGGCCTGACCAGCTGGCTCCTAGGCGGTAGGCCCCAGAACTGGGGAAAGGTAGGAGCAGGACCTGATGGAAAGCGCTCCTGTCGGCCTTGGCATTGTACTAGCCCAGTGGCGTGGTAGGGTGCCGTCAGGCCCCCTGGAGCGAGCAGGCCCCTTCCCGGGCCCCCAGGAGGAAAGTTCTTTCATTGGGGAGGCCCCAGCCGGGGAGGAAAAAAAAAAGGCAGAGTTTCCTCAGCGCCAGAGGCACCCTGCCCACCCCACCTCCGGCCCTCTCTCTGGGCATCTTCCAGGTGGCCCTCCTCCCCAGCTCCGCCTCCAGGGCCAGGGCGTGCCTGAGGCCAGGGGGAGGGGCCTGCCCCTCCCCCCACCCGGACAGCGAGGGGGGGAGAAGGAGGAGCCACAGATCAAGTTTGTCTGGGCCCCCCCACTGGGGGGCCATACTCTGGATCCTACCGGTGGGGAGGCTCTGGCTGCGAGGGCCGAGGGCTCAGCAGCGGGGCCGGGCCAAGGGGGCACCCGGGGGAGCCCTTCAGAGGGGGCACTGGGCGGGAGTCCAAGGGAGGCAGGCTCCGGGGCACTGCCGGCGGCCCCCGGGTGGCCCCGGTGGGCAGGACGGCTGCGGCGGGGAAGGGTTTGGGGGGCTCTGCCGCAGCAGTGGGGGCCGGCTGGGCAGCCCGCTCCCGGCGCCGCAGCAGCTCCTGCAGCTTCTCCGCCTGGGTCCGCCTCAGGTGGGCCAGGGCGCGGCCGCGCTGGAAGGCCGGCAGGAAGGCCTCCAGGCTCTGCTCCCCCAGCAGCAGCTGCTCCATCTGCTCCTGGGGTGGGGGGGCGGGGACGGTTTGAGAAGAGCCCCTCCCCGCCAAGACCTCTCCCCCTCCCACCCCTGAATCTCTTCCAGGGGTGACCACCCCACGGCTGGGAGATGGGGCCCCGAGTTCTAGCCTCGGCCCCGCCTGGGACTTGCCGAGTGACTGGGGACACATGTCCTCTGCTGGGTGGAAGATGAGGCAGAATCAGAGATGGGGACACGTTTGGAGTAAACTTAGGTGTCTCTCATCAAGGCCCCTCCTCCGCTGCCTCCTTGGACTCACCAAGCACTGAGCTCCCAACCCACCCCTGAGAAGTTCGTCCCAGCTCCTCTGCCCACCCAGTCTCCACTGTCCTATGCTGAGACATTCACAGGTGGGGAGGAAGAGCCTTGCTGTCCAATGCGGACAGCTGGACACCAGCATAGCGGGCTCTCCTGGGGCCAGGCACTCAGGGTGGGCTTCCTGGAGGAGGGGCTCTCAACCCTGCAGTGTAAGAATGGGGGGGGACGATGATAGGATGGGTCTCCTTCCCTGCTGTCCCCAGGCCCCGCTGCCCCTCCCCTCACCTCAGCCTCCTGCTCAGCCTCTTCCAGCTCAGCCTGCAGCCAGCCCAGCGCACAGTGGGGGCTCCAGCGATGCATGCTCTCCTCTGAAGGCCACAGAGGGACAGAATAAATAGCTCCTGCCTTCCGGGCCCATCGCCCGGGACAGACAGGCCAGAGCCCCAGGGCCCAATCCTGCATGGACCCCTTGTGTGATTCTCTGCTTCTCTCTGGAGCCTCAGGGTCCCGCCCATGGGGTCAGTTTGTGAACCTCCCCCTGGGGTTCTGCCCCAGTCCTAGCGCAAAAGAGGAAACAGGCTTTGCCCCCTAGAGCACCCAGGGCCACTTTTCTTCCCCTGCTCAGAGCCCCCTTCTGGCCTTTCCAACCCAGTTCTACTCAGGGACTGCTCACTTCCCCAACTCAGTTTTCCAGGAGCAGCACCCCGAAGACTTGCCCAGGGAAGAGGTCTGCCCAAGTCCTGCCCTTCAGAGCCTCGCCCTTCCCAAGGCCAGCCGGCCAGAAGGCCGACTGCGCCCACCGCAGGCAGTTCTCCCAGGTGTCCCTCACCCAGTCGCTGTAGCTTATCCGCACAGCTCTCGGCCACCTCTCGAAGCTCCTGGTACTTGATGGCCAGGGCAGCCCGGCCCATCTCCAGGCGGGGCCGCAGTGCCAGGTTCTCCTTGGCTAGCGCGTAGTTGGAGGCCAGGCATGCCTCGCGCTCCAGCTGCAGACCCTGGAACTGCCAGAACAGACAGAAGAGCAGAGAGGCCCAC